AACAATACTCATGTCTAAACAAAACATGAGGCACTACCTAAGAAGCATTATTTATGTAGTTATCACCTCAATTTCTAAAGATTCCCATATAACAAGAGCACAACGCATAAAATATCAAAAACCGACAACTCAAATCTATAATTATTTAGAATATAGGCTTGTTTCTAGCTGGTGGCTGGACAGGGACATAGAATAAAATAAAATAACTGCATATCCCATCTTCTTCTTACAAATCAGAAATTCTTCATTAATTGTTGGCCTTTTACAACATAACCCGTTTAGTAATCTTTTGTGTAACATCAGAGGCAACAGAGACGTGTAACTTAAGGCTAAGTTCAACGCGTTGTCAATGACAAGTGACGGCGACTTTTTTATCACAAGAAATACAGCTCTGAAGGATAATATTTTCAAAAACTGTTTTCATAAATGCGTTCAAAAAACTGTAAAGAATGATGGAAAGTTTATGGTTTGTTTTACTTTTACATTTTTTAATATACAGTGAAACAATAGTTTTTATTTCTCCTGTAAATTTGTATAGAAAAGCTATTTCTGAATCCATATTTGAATTTCCCGCCCTAGAGCATTTTTAAATTTTGCCGCTATTTACTAGTGGCGCCATCATAGACTGGTTGTGGTTACAATCGCCCAAACAACTTTTACCGAACAAAAAAAATACATTGAGTTACACGTCTCGCTGGATTGTCTCTGATACCATGTTTCAGAAACATTTTCAGTTAAATATTTCAGAAACTTGTTCTTGAAATGTTATATGTTTGAAACGTTTGAAATATTTCTGAAACACTTCTGAAGTAATGTGTGCTATATGGGTATGTCATATTTCAATTATTGTAAGAAATGATCAAGACTTAAAAATATTCAGAAAAGCGTGTTTTGAACTGTGGTTGTAGAAAAACTACTATTATTTACACACCTATTTCTTTTCTTGTTGCTGTAGGTATACCAGATCTATCAAGCAGTTTTTCTGTTAAGCAAAAACTAGGTATTTAATTCGTTAATAAAAGTTTAATGATCATTTACGGAAACATAATAGTTAGGTATATAAGTAATAAAATGGTGATGTAATTCTAACCTCCATTCGTAGTTAGTAAAGTTTTTCGTCATTTTAACTAGTTCAATTTATATTTCTCAATTTTTAATTACAGTAAAACCACCTAATTTTACTTACTTAATTTATAATAAATTGGTGTAAGCCATAATAAAATGTTTTGCTACAGATATATGTCCCAAATTATTACCTAAATTGCCAATTAAATTGATTAATTAAAGTTTTGCAATTTCATATAAAACATGTTGACTGCATTAATTTTGTTAAATTAAGTACTTACCTACCTTTTTGAATGAGTTCTAGGTAGAATACTTTATATCTCTATTCCTATTTTTGTTAACCTTAAAATCATACTGGAAACAATATAACATTTTGCTTTGCTGCATTTATTTTTGTCCCACTTGGCAACATAATTTTCCAATTATATTCTATTGACTTTAACAATAGTTTCACAATAAATGATTATTACTATATTAAATTTATGTCGTATAACTAAAAAAATATTAATTTAATATCAAGGTCCAATAATTTAACAAAAATTATAATTCCCGCGACAAATTAATTTTAATTTTGATTTTTTTTAACCAGTTCTTGTGGTTTATTTATTAGAATTCGTTAAAGATGACTCAAGGTTAAAATTCTTGAACATAATGTAATAGATAAGTACTACTAGGTATAATTATTTAATTCACTGAGATGGAAATTTAATCACTTTTTAGGTCAGTTACAACGTTATTGCGATTGTGGTAAAAAATTGGTGACAACAGGTTCATTTTTTATTTAAAAACTTATTGTTATTGCAATAAGAGAAAAAATGAAATCTAATCAATAGGTATTTTGATGACTTATATTTTTATAATACCTATATGGGGTGTGGTACCAACGACCTCCAAAACTCAGAAACAAAGGAATTATTCAAAATTTAAAAAACATTTATTGGCAAAGAAACGAATTGTTATATAAAATTCATACTCAAAAATCCAACCACCTAAAGCCCGGCAGCAACCCCCTAATCATTATTTGAAAGGTAATTTTATGAAGAATTCAACAATATGACTATTAATTGCGTTGCTTTTGATTTTAGTGCCCTCTAGCAAGATTAAAAGTGTAACCTATTGTGACACTTCATTTGAAAGATAATTTTATTAGTAATTTAATGCATAGCATAAATTTGTTATTTTAGTGGATTGCGATTAAAATTAAAAAAATTGAAAGAAAATATTAACACGTTCGATGCCCACGCCGACACAGTGTCGGCGTGCGCATTTAATAAGCAGTGCCTCCTCCCCCGCACAGGTGTAGTAATTGATATAAGTCTATTAAATGGTATGCTGTTTCGCGGTCATGCCAATTGAGTAGTGGTCGCGGTAGGGGCACGTTGTAACGACTTCAGGAAATATTTTTTTTAATTGGTCCCGCGTTTGAGTTTTCTTGTGCTAGTGTACAATAATGGAAGATAACGCAGTTCCAGGGCCGTCTGGCGTGAGGAAATTAAGAAGTCAGAACGTCTGACTGATGATGAACTATTGGCTTTGGCATGGAGTGAATCCGAGGAAGAACCTTTTCAGAGCTCGAGTAGTGAATGGAGTGGCGCAGAAGAGCAGGGGGAAAATTTTGCAGCAGGCATTACTAGGGTAGAAAACCCTTCGAACCTAAAAAACATTCCTTTTAGTGGAAGATCAGGGTTGAAAGTTGATATACCTGGGGAGGGTCGACCCATAGACTTTTTCACATTATTAGCAGATGATGAATTCTTTGATTTATTAGTACGCAAGATAAATACATACGCCGAACTGGTATTATTGAGCGATCCAAATCCTAGGCCACATTCGCGAATTAGACGATGGAAACCAGTAGACAGAAAAGAAATGACTGTATTTTTAGGCCTGGTTTTACACATGGGAATTATTTAATAACCACGACTTAGAGATTACTGGCGAAAAGATCGCTTATATAATTTGGCATTTGGACGTTTTATGAGTAAAAATAGATTTTTAATTATAATGCGTTGCCTGCATTTTTCACCAAATCGACAAGAAGGAGAACCAATACCGACTGATAGACTTTGTAAAGTACGTACGTTAGTGGATTTTTTAACAATAAGATGATGGCAATTTACGAACCAGAGAAGACACTAGCTATTGATGAATCTATGCTTTTATAGAGAGGAAGACTTATTTTTCGCAAATACATAAAAAATATAAATATGGAATCAAATTCTATTTTTACTCACTGAAAGTACTGGTACAATAATGAAAATTTAAATATACACGGCAGCAGCTGACGATATGGGTGGTAAAAGGCATGTGCCAATATTGTCCTTCATCTGGTAAACAACTACTTGGACAAAGGATGTAGTCTATACATGGACAATTTCTATAATTCAGTGGATCTTGCTAATCAGCTCCTAGAAAGAAATACCTATTGTACTGGAACTTTGAGAAATGGAAGGAAAGGAAATCCTAGTGATGTGTTAAAAGCCAAACTAAAGCCTGGCAAGTCAGTTCAACGTTATGAGAAGTCCTTTATATTTCAACAGAACATAAAAATGTACTTCAGGAAGTGACTTGTAGATCAGGAAGAGTAAAAGAAAAACCATTGCCCATCGCAGAATACAACAAGTATATGTCCGGCATTGACTTGCAAGACCAAATGATGGTATATTACCCAGCGCATAGGAAGTCCATCAGATGGTACAAAAAAGTTGAAATATACATAATTGAAATAATGTTGAATAATTCGTTTATGCTATATAATAAACATTCACAAAAAATGTCATATTTGGATTTTCGCCATTCTATCATCGAAATGTTTTTGGAAGAACCAGCTGAAAATATTCCTGAAATCAGAAGGTCTCATATTCCTTCTAAGTGTGAGGTAGCCGAGAGTGGAAGAAAACTATGGAAACGTTGATGTTCACAAAGAGGTATAAGAAAATATTTTTGTCCAGAAAAACCAGGACTCTGTCTTGAAATGTGTTTTGAACAATTTCACGATAATTTGTACTCAGTAAATGGTTGAATGTCAAGTATTTCTTTATTTCACTTTTTTTACGTATACATAAACAACCTAACATTAGTTACTTATGCCTCGCCTCTCAACAGCTATTTTTACACACAGCTGTTCACATGAAATGCGGTTGATCTGTACAACAACCATAGTATTACCAAGTTTACCAAGATGAGACATTATATTTATGCCGAAAAAATAAATCTCATACCTCGGACATTTTAACGCTACTGAACAGGATGTTGTCAATGTGATCTGTATATAATTATTGTATTTCACGATGAATACTGTTTTTAATGTATTAGAAAAGGTCCCGAAATAAACATCTTCTAATTGAACAGACCTATAAATCCATAAAAATTCAATAAATTATCCACAAGAAAGTTAAATTAAATAATAAATAATTTTATTTGGGGATATTCATTTTGGTCTGATATCTTATCGGATATTTTGTTAACATAAAGCAAAACACCGACCTCCAGAAAAATTATGATCAACTATGGTCTTTGTCGCACTTCTTTCAAGCGAGTGAAATAGAATAGTGTTTATGAATGGTTACTATACATTCTTACAATAATGGATCGATACGCCATTCACGTACAATTTTTTTATAATTGTATCACTTTCTAAGTCGTAAAACATAAACATTTTCAAATTCATCAATATAAACAAGTTTTAACACCAAACTAATAAAATCACAGAGGCTCAATCAATTAATACTAGTTGACACGTAAAGCGCAACTGTATTAAAATCACCTGGGGGTCGATTCTCGACTCGTAGGAATATTTTCCTATAGGAATTTTTGACATTTTTATATACATCGAAAATGTCATAAATTTTCTGTTCAATCTCGCCGAAACGAAATATACAAATAAAGGATTATTATTATTCTTATTATAATCAGAAACCAATTTTTTTTTTCAGGTATCATAGTAGTATCCCTACCGATCCTCCTAGCCACCAGTAACAGGCGGAAAGTAAACAATAAAAGCCTTCTATCAATTCCCGATCTAACGTCAAAAAACAATCCAGAAATTGACGACTCATCCGATGACCTTGTCGAAGACAGTGTTTCGGAAAGAACCCACTACTTCACCACCTCCAAAAACCTACTCATCACCGGCTCGGATGCTGTTGAACGGCTCATGAGCAGCTACAAGAACATCGTTGAATTAGCTGGGCATACAGCTCGTGTGGCAAATATGTTTGAGGTGTTAGAAGAGGCTAGCAAAGGGATTTACCATAAAACTCTCGTCGCCAAGAACAAGTCTGTAGGATTTGAGATTGAGTTTAACGGGGACCAACCAATGGCTAAAGGTGAGAATTGGTTTGGATATTAATTGTCAATTATTGCCAATGGCGAAGCTAGAATTATTGGCACCCAGGGTAGAAAAGGCCATTTGACTTCATGTTTAATATAAAAATATGTCTGCTTAATTATTATTTTTTTTTGTATAAATTTATTGTTTCTAGTCGGCAGTGACTAATCTACATTTTTTTTAATTTCTTAAAACTAGGATACGATAAGATAATCCCATTGGTGTTTCTTAGGTTATAAAACAAGCACACAATTTTGTCGTGTTTCACTATGCTCTGCTCTAGTAACTACACAAGCTCTATATGATTAATCCTTTTGAGTCTTCTCTTTAGGCCTAATTATTTAGAATCTGTGGGGCCTCGGTATTGTCATGCGCGTGGATTCTTCCTTCTCTCTTTTGTACTTTGCTGCACATCCCCAGAGCTGGATTACATAGAGTCGGACTTGTTTTAAAATCTGTTTATACAACAATAACTTATTATTCACAGAAAGTTTTGATTGATTTTAATCGAACATCCAGGTTCATTCCGAGGTATTTTACTTTATCTTAGTATACTTATCTTTATTATTTATATCCCCTTTCATTACAGGTAAAGCTAATGAATGACAATTTGGTTTCATTTATTCTTGTTCTCCACGTATTGTTCAATTCAGTTACACTGTTACATACCTCTAAATAGTTTCTTGGCTGTTATCTCCCATACCTAAGATATTTGTACCATCAGCATGAGTAGCGGTCGTCACGTGTTTGATTTGTGGTATATCGCAAGTGTACAACAGATAAAGCACAGATCTTAGCACGTTACCTTTAATCTCCGTTAATCTATTTAATTGTAGAAATTCTTCCTTCTGTTTGACATAAAATACTCGACCAGTAATATAAGATTTTAGAATGTCAGTATATTATTTTGGTAACATTTTCTTCAGTTTTTTAATTAGTTAATTAGTTCATTGTTAAACATATTTGCTTTTCTTCCTCTTAGGCTTTTTCAATTATGTTTGTTATGCGGTGATTTTGGTCAATTGTCGAATGCTTCTTCCTAAACCCAAACTGAGTCATAAGAATTAGTTCAGCAGTAGTTTTTTCGAATATTTTGAAAAAATTGGTAATAGCGAAATATGTATGTACGATGATACTTCATTTGAGGGCTTCCCGTGTTTGGTAATCAGTAATTATTATTATATGGACTACTTTCCAAGCATCTGGTACCTGCCTTAACCGAAATGCTGCATTTATTAGATAAGTGAATTTAACCAGTGCTTTTCTAGGTACATTCTTATTTTTTTTTTATTTATTTAAGTATGTTGTTCTTAATTTCATCTTCTAGTTCTTTCGGTGTTATTGGATTGATGTCTAAATTTTCACCTCCATACGACAGTATATCTAATATGATATTTTTTCCGTCTGGCTGAAAAGTTTGATTTAAGTGATTTGAAAGTTTCTGCCTTTTCTTGATTTGACTTGACCCTTGACCCAGATTCCATCTACAGTTCTGATTGGTGGTATATGTGTCAGTGGTCTTTGTGGTTTTTTTGCTTACTTTCCAGAGGGAATAAGTAGTTTGTTTCATTATCATCTGTTAGTTCTTGTAAGTATTTATTGATGGACTTTTTTAGTTGTGTGATTTATTTTCGTAATTTTTGGGAAACACTGTTTACTTGTTTTATCATCTGGCGCTATTGTTCCTTGCCACTTTTTTCTTTTTCCAGCTACTAGTTTTTTTAATTCAAGAGGTTAATCGCTTTCGATTGTTAATCTTTTAATTTCAGGTGTACCTATTTTGCCAATCAGTCTGTTGCATCTCAATTACAAACTTAAAATTCTTGGCTTTATTGTTTTCTAGTCTTTAATGGAATATTCAGTTGTTGTTTCTTCCTGAAATCTTTCTCAATTACATTTTTGGATTATTAGGATAATAATATTACCTCTATTTAAACTTATATTTTGAAATTGCAGTCTTTCATTCTGTGTCCATGGTCATCACTTTAGATTAGAGATGACGCGACAACTTGACGTACTTTTTTTTTAGTGTGTAATATGATGCATCTCTGCTGTTGGAAGGAAAAGAAATAGTAAATCTACTATTTTTAATTTTTATATAAATTTGTTTTGAAGATTCAAATAACATTTTTTAATTTAAGTTAGTAGGCCCCTGTTGGTTGCCGCCACGTTTACCTGATTTGACCCCATCGACTTTTTCTTGTATTTAAGTTTGTTGATAAATTTGTTTTTTCAGGAAAAATTATTCATTCGACGACTAACGAAATTGTATTGACGAATGTTCCTATCGTAACCCCTAATTGTGACATAGTGTGTCCGTCATTAAGCATCGAACTGAAACCTGGACAGCATTTACTAATTACGGGTCCGAATGGCTGTGGAAAATCGAGTTTGTTCAGGATATTAAGCGGACTGTGGCCTATTTACGGTGGAGAACTCTACACGCCTATGAATTCTATGTTTTATATTCCTCAACGGCCATACATGGTTATTGGTAAGTAGTAGATTTTTTTATAAACGCTGTTTAAGTTATGCTCTCTATTACTGTTTTCTTAATTTGACATAATGCAGAAAAATCAATTTTTGTAAATCAGAAAAAAATATATTTCTTAGATTTCTAAAAAATAGATGTTTATGACTTGTAATTCAGAATAATAGATGATTTTATTTTATTATCATTTATTTCTACACCATTAAACGGTCAAATTCTTGCCTAGTCTTTTATAGAATTGGAAAAAGTACAAATAATCAACAAATAAAAATGAACGTTAACATAAAGAAAGCAAATCCATAAAGAAATGTAAAAATGTCAAAAAAGATCATGTTCAATTCTACAAGCAAAATATAAATATACAGTGTGTCTACTTAAGTCGGAACCATATGGTGAGAAATAAAGAAAAGTAAGAAAGTAAGAAAAGAGCCGTTGGCGCATCTAACAATTGGACCACCGAGGCACTTAGCTACGACATATTTAAATCGATTTTCCCAACTTTCTTTGTCATTTCACGTTTACTGCGGCCCGTACTTAAAAACATTACTGGCAAACGAATGAAGTCTGAGGGGTAGTAGTAATCAGGGCAGCCAAGAGCCATAGGGCATTTTTATAAAATTAGATCCTTTCTTTGTAAAATTTACAGAAAAAAAGGTCCTTATCTCTTCAAAACATCTTATACAGCTCTCCCCTCGTCGTTCCTGGTGGTAATAAAGTTTTAAGTCTGCAGGGGGTAGTGGTAATATTTAACACTTTATTTTTGATAATAGTGCTCTTTAGCACCTATAAAAAGTTAGGTTTAAAAATTTTTGGAGGTTACTTACCCCTATTAACCCCTCGCCCCTGATGAAGAATCTTAGAAGTTATTCTACTAGTACAATCTGAGATTGACGTCTTTCAATACGTTGTAAGGGTGGCTTAAGGAGAATTTTTAATTTTTCTTTGATTTGTTTTCACTTTGGAGATATGGGGATGTATTTTTCGTATTTCCTTAGGGGGAATTGGGGATTATATATTATCATATTTCCAAAATTGCATTTTATGCATTTAATGCGGCCCATACTGTACCAAATCTAAGTGATCTGTAATCCATTATTCCAAACATGTACTTGGTGAAGAACTTTCTTTGATGTGCTGGTAGTAGACCTGGTGATTTGATGCTGACGTTATCTATTTAAAGTTTAAAGTTCAATATAACATATTACAACAACATTGAGTAGGTACTAACTACATTAACGTTTATTGATTTGTCCAGAAAACTATTTCACATTTTTACATTTGTATAACTATGGGTTATAAAATGCCGGCTGGTGCCGAAAGAGAGTTAAAAACCTAGTGAGAAGTGCATCGTTGTAAATTGATGCAGTGTTCCGCCTCTGAAAAGCAATGTCCGCTATTTATTCCTTCTTGTTTCCCACCTAGTGACTTTATTTTCAAATTATTTCTTGCCTGTGCAGACGTGAGAGAGCGTTATGAACCGTAATTATCTGATCCTTTATATAACTGATTTATAAGATAAAGTCGGTCTTTTTATTTCCATTAAATATTAAATTATTGTTGAAAAGTTACTTTTTTAGTTAATTATTTATTTTGGTACCGGACTAGCCTTATGAATTAGTGCAATATGTGGGATAAAATTCCAACAATCTAAATCGATTTTCACCTTCATGTATAATTTTCGATATTGTTAATAATAAAGGTATGCTACTATTGTGTATTGGTCATATATTTCGATAAACTTTGTACATTATTAAAAAAATTTGATATCTGTATTTAAAATTTTAAGGTAGGCAGAACTTTTTATGAAGACTAACTTTTTTAATAAAACTAATAATAAAAAAGTATTCCATAATATATGGCGCCGACTTAAGTAGACTATGACTCGCTGTATATAATATACAGGTAAAGTACCAAATTGATTATTTTTAAAAAATGCACTTCTTAACAGAGCTGGTGCATAATTATTAGGCGTTTTTGTAGGTGGCCATTTTTTCAGAAACAATTGCTGTATTGTTTTCTTTTGCTTTGTCAAAATATTATTTAATTTCGTGGTTATAAAAATGCGTGTCGATAATTATACTCATATTCGTCATATTATGCTTTACCACTTCGAAAAAGGATGGAAAGCAGCGCAGTCATTTCGTGATCTCAGCGAACTTTTTGGTGAAGGAACAATAAGTGAAAGTGTATGCGGGGAATGGTTTGCCCGTTTTAAATCTGGCGACACTAGCTTGGAAGATAAACCAGGAAGAGGTCGACAGATTTCGATAACCTGGCACTTTTGGAAGCCGTAGAAAGGGACGAAAGTTTGACAACTCGAATGCTGGCAGAAGACTTCAATGTGGACCACTCAACCATCGTTCGTCGTCTGAAAAAGCTGGGAAAGGTATGGAATGTGACTAATTGGGTCCCTCACGAACTGTCCGAAAACAATAAAGCCGAAAGTCTCCGACTTTTTACTGATTTGCTGCAACGTAACGAACAAGCTCCGTTTTTGAAGAATCTTGTCACTGGAGATGAGTCATGGCTTCTCTTTAAAAATGTCAAAAGAAAGAAGGTCTGCGTTTCGCCAGGGTGTTGCACCAAAAAGAGTACCGAAAAACGTACACTGGTGTGTTTGGTGGGACAGAAGCGAAATTATCCATTGGGAAATCATTTCAAATAGGATTTGTTATTGGTGGAATGACGACGATGAGTGTCACAAATGGCGGATTCCAGACCAAAACGGCAAGCGGCAATTCAACGTCAACAGTGATGTCTATATGGCGCAACTTGACCGCCTTCACGCTGCAATCGAGACGAAAAGACCGCGCAAAAAAAATCATATCATCTTCCTTCACAACAATGCGCGTCCACTTATTGAGCGCCGTGTTGTCGAAAACATCGCCAATAAGGGTTGGGAACTGCTTCCGCATCTGCCATATTCTCTCACAGAAGCGCCAACGGACTACCATGTCAATTGATCGCTGAAAAATTGGTTGGTACAAAAAGTTTTCGAAGATTTGGATAGCTTGGTGGCCGATGTCAAAGCATGGATTACCTCCAAGAACCGTGACTTTTTTGCACGTGGAATCGACTGTTTTCCAAGCAAATGGGAATCAGTTATTGAAGTTGATGGTGACTATGCTCCGGAATAATGATTTAACGATACTATTAGAGAATTTTTGTTTTTTTTTAATATAAATAAAAGTTTGCTTTCATATAAATAAAGTTTTTTATAAAACGCCTGATAATTATACACCGCCCCAATACTTTGTCTATAGGCATCTCTAATCCATTTTGATTTAACAGAATTTGAAAGAAACCATTGAGAACGGAAAATACTAAATTATACGTACCTACATGTTTTACATCTCTTACAAAAAATAAACACAAAAATACGGAATTAAAATTTCAGCTCTTTAATTTTGTTGGAATTGACTACTAAAAAAGTTCTGAAAGAAATAAAAAGAGAGGTTGCTAATCTCTACCCTTCAGAAACAAACTGAAAGAAGAGACATCATTAGAAAATAGAATTCGACTAGCAGATAATGTGTACCAAAATTACAATTTCTAATTAGTCGTTTTCAAGAGAATAAATAACAATTTTTCTCGGCATTTTGAGACTTAAAAACATAATATATCGACAGAGAGGACTCAAACTGCAAAATTTTATAAGATAATCTCACTTAAATAGTTGGTAGAACACCCTGTTAAAATATGGGAACATCATGTATAAATTTATCCGGCCCTGTTCATTCTACTCTTTGATCTCGCCGACATTGTGAAAATCCGAATATTTTGGAGCTATAAATGATCTTAATCTGTAGATTTTGTATGCAGAATTTAGTTTAAACGTTTATTAATGATTATTAGAAGTAAATTACGTCATTTTCCAGTTTGTATTTTCTTAATTTACCTGAATTACCTATAAACAATAATTTTTGCAGGTAATTTACGAGATCAAGTAATTTATCCCGATACGCACGCAGACATGATCAAGAAAGGCATTACCGAAGACAATTTACTGAAAATAATGACGATGGTCCATTTGGACCATATCGTAGAAAGGGATGGCTTCTATGAAGCTAAAGATTGGACGGACATCTTGTCTGGTGGCGAGAAACAGAGAATGGCGATCGCTAGGTTGTTCTATCATAAGTAAGTTGACTTGTTGAATTTTAAATTCGATACTTTTGTGATGAGTTTAAGGTTAATTAATTTACCTTGCAAGGTATTATATTTTTATTACTCTCCTTTTCGGCCTTATTACTTCTATATCTCAAAGCCTTCAACTTCAATTCAAATAAAACAGGCAGCTGTACATGGGCGTCGTTACACATTTCTATAGGGAAGGGCAACATTTAAAAAAAAATTATAATGTTTATTTGTTGGAAAACAAAGAAAATTAAAAATAAAAAGCAATACAAAATAATAAAAGTCTCTTTATAAAGAAAATAACCCAATCAAAGAGACTAAAATAAAAAAAAAAACAATGTCACTTAAAACACATATTTTTAAAAAACAAACAGAAGGTGTAATATTAAAGAAAAATAGAAACAAGAAGACACAGCCATACATATTAATAAAAAAAACAAACATGTCGACGAGCACAAAAATATAAAAAAATCAAACACGTCTACGAACACAAAAAAAAACACTTTAGGAAAACGCAAATTTAAAATTTTTTCATTTTCTACCAAAAATATCTATAACAAGGCATTTCTTTTTTGTTTTCCGCGATTATTTTTCGATGTACGCTCATCATGCATAGCCCAGTCAGCCTATTTTCATTCATTATTCACTCCGTGCGTGACAGCAGCGCCACCTAATTTATGAAATAACGGACAATATTTGCGTATACTGACAATACAATTTTTAATTAAATTCGTAATTAAAAATATATAGGTTGAATTTAATAGAAGTATATAATAGATTATAAAGGAAATACAAAAAGCAAAAAGATTTATTGAAAATAATCAAAAATAATAGACTTTTTTTAGAAAAATTGATTTATTGTTTAATGGGTTTCTTAATATTTTCGATTTTTCAAAAGTATTTAAATCATTTATTTTAAAGGAAATACGAAAAAAATAATTTCGGTTATTTTATATAATCGATATTTCGATTATTTTTTTAGAATTATCGGTTTTTCAGTTAGGTAATCGGATTTTTAAATAATTGATTATTTTCGATTTATCGACAAATTTCAATTTGTCTACGTAAGATAGATTTCTGAATTATATGAAATCCCTTTCAGAGGCTCTGAAATGTTCAATTGCATTTTTCTCAAAACCGGTTGAAATTATCAAGTTTAAACAGGTATCATAATTTTACATAAAAATTATGTTTTCTAATCAAAATTGCCAAAAAATATCGTCAAAAAAGATATGACTTAATTCGATCATCAGAAATCGCATATGTGGTGCTCCTTGTAACAAAATATAAAATCATAAATAAAATAATATTCCTTGTCCAAAGTTATGCCTCTGTGCCAATTTTGATAACGATTTATGAATATATTGTGAAATTATTACCAAAAACGAAAAAAAATATATTTTTTCACTTTAACATCCTGTATCTTTTTCCACATCACCATTTGGTCCAATCTTCATATTTTGATCCAGTGTATTTAAATAATTCTCTTTGTTTGTGCTGCATTTGAACGATTTTAATATTTCTGTTTTATTTTTAGACCTAAATACGCTCTTTTAGACGAATGTACCTCAGCTGTTTCCATCGACGTGGAAAGTTTTATTTATCAAAGTGCTATTGACATGGGCATAACTTTACTTACCATTACCCATAGACCTACACTTTGGTACGTATATATTTTTAACTATTTTAATTGTTTAACTTTGAATTATATGTTTTTGAAGTGAAAACTTTTTTGACGCGCCCTTCATAACTTTTTTCCTGGGTTCGGAATGAGATTGAGGCGTTACGATCAGAGTTATGTTTCGCTCATTCGGGCAAACTCGGAGAAAGAGAAAAAGATGGTCAGCGCAGCGAGATAGCGATAGTCCTATGCGTCGCTGCTATACGTGATTCAAATTAATTTTCCCGCTCTGTGTAATTAGGCAAAACAAACTCCAGTGTTGTCAAACAATAGTAGTTTGTGCAACAAGAGTGGAAATTATGGCCATATCGCACGACGCCGTAGGCGGACTGCTCAAATGGATTAGTGCGATGTGGACAATCCACTCGAGTTGTATAGTATATTTTTTCTACGACCAACTAACGAAAATTTACAAATAAAAACAAATATTTTAGCTTATTAAGACAAAATAACTAATTTTAAAATAATTTATGACTTTTAAAAATTTTTAAAATAAAATAAACGAAAAAAATTAATTTCATTTTTCCCCATCCGAGAATCGAACTCCAATCCTCTGCGTGGAAGGTAAGAATGCTAACCACAAGACTACTTACGCTTTTATTTTTGTTGCTTTAATACTCATAATTAAATTGACTTCATATAGTTTTATTTATATTAACAAATTATTTATAATTATAGATGAAATAAAAAAGAAATGCTATTATTTATTGATTCTACACAAGAATAACCCATTTTAATGTATGTTTAATCTCAATAACTAAAAAATATACTGATAATTATTAGTTTGACAGAATTGTCACTTATTTAAAATTTTAAAAATAACAGCAGTCGGTTGATCAAAATATGAACGGTAATTGGCGGAATTCATTTTTTTTGCAGTGTTCTCACTACCTAGAATGGATATGAAATATATTCGTTCAGTTGAAGGCAATATCATACTTTTTCGTTTTGTAATCTGCGCGTAGGTAAGCTAATATCATGTGGGTGTAGAAAAATTAATTAATTTAAAATAGAATAATACACTTGCGTACATAGAAATCGGCCCACTGTAAACTTTTGACTTTAACTGTTTTTTTTTTAATTATTCATCAGATCAAAAAAATTGCTGTTTGAAAGACAATTTATTATGCTTTATTTGTCTAATAATTAATTAATAATAGTAATGTTGTTTAATAATTAAAAAAAAAAAAAAAAATAAAGTCGAAAGTTTACAGTGGGCCGATTTCTATGCACGCAAATATAAATTATTCCTAGTGTCAAGTTAAGATTTCCGTACAGCGGTTACCGCCCACTAAACATGAAACATTACCAGTCTTTTTTGTAACGTTTCTCATAGAAACTTTTCTTGATATATTTTTAAAACGGTACATTTTTAATTTTTAACGTCATATTATTTAACATTCCTCGCTTTTATAGACCGTCAGGTAGTGACCGATTTAGATGCCCCATTTTCGCATGCAAGCCTCGAAGAGGGTTAAAAAGTACATCGATGTTGAGTAGAATGAAAGAAAACTTACGAGTTGTTCTTGGGGATAACACAGGGAAAAGTCGATTTTCCTTATCAGAAAAATTTTCCGACCCCAAAATGCACTTATACATTCGGGTCATTTAAGAAAATATGTTTTTCGGACTAGTGACGATGTACGTTTTCATACATTCGATGGGCTTGTGTGGAAAAATCGGGTAAAATCTCGATTTTTTTCTCTGAAGATTACGTCCTAATTGCAATCCTTTAGCCACTTGCAACATTAAAGCCTTTGGTTTTCCGAAGCCTAGTTCTATTAATTAATCATATAGTGAAAACGGCTTGCGGGGAAATATGGGCAACAAATAACTTTTTATTTTTGTTAGGGAATATCGAATTTTCCATGTGTTATCCCCAGGAGGCACTCGTAAATTTACTTTCATTCTACTTAAAATCGATGTACTTTTCAACCCTGTTCGAGGCTTGTATGCGAAAATGGGGCACCTAAACCTGTCACTATCTGACGGTCTAATATCTACAAATAAAGTTTGCTGGAATACTTGAATTAGCACTTACATAAACGTCTTTTGTACTTCTTTTTATTTATGTTAATTTATATAACTCACAATAATATCGCATATATACAGGTCCGGTTTTTTAAAGTTTTTCTTTCTCGGAATGCTATTCGCACACACTCCAATGAATTCCGGTGAAAATTATGTAATTTAATTAATTTTAAAAGTAACTTAAAATCATCTATGTTTAGCAATTGAGATATATTTAATTTTAGGTATTATATTAAAAAGTTTCTGTTTAATACTAAAATTATTGTTTCGTCCATTTATATTAAATATTAATGTGATGATAAAAAAAGAAAACAGTTGATTATTGAAACAAATATTTCATTATTGATTTTCTTAATACCTAAGTTATTTTTAGAAAACTGTTCTGAAATAGATTAATTCTTACTTTATAAGTGAATTAATCTTCCGGAGGAAGTTAGACAAATAAAATGTGTCATTGCTTTTAGAGATAAATATATAAGCGCCTCAACTATAAGGCTCTTAGCTTTCTTCAGTAACTACTCAGACAGCACACAGTCCAATGAACGTCCACTTTAGACCCATTTGTGGGTAATAACGTCCATATTCTTATCTGAACATCCAGTGTACGTCCATTTATGATCATTAATTTGACAGGTATTTAGAAAATAGCTCTGAATCAAAAGTAATTGAAGAACTTTTTACAAAAACGACACATGTCCAAAATCAGCTTTTTGTTTAGGAAAAACAAAAAAACATTATTTAACTTACTAGAACATACTTACGTTAGGATCCGATTACGATTAGAAGAACACAGGTGCGTCATAACTTTGTGGGGTCAGTTGTTGATGGAACCGTCTACTATGGACCAATGGCGTGTTGATAATATTGTGATGTTTGTTTATTTTCAAACAACAGTTTATTTATTAATAATTTATTTAAACACTTATTTATTTTAAACAATACTATTTTAATTTATATATACTTCGAATGTCTTTAAACTGATCACTATTTATATTCACCACTGTCTATCTACTAATTACTATTTATCTTCACTGTCCATACATCAACTGATTTTGATGGCTCTCCTCCACCAATTTATATACAAATTGGTGATCTAGAATGCTCCCCCACCAAAATTGCCAGTATGTACCAGAAACGTTATCACGTTCTAGAAATAGTATCTCGTTGATCCTGGAATGTTCGCGAAAGTGTCTCCACCATAGTCGTCCCATAGGTTTGGTCTCAAGGGGTTTAATTATGTATAATAATCGGACAAGTTGAGCCTCAAAGGCCAAATAAGACAGAGAGGGACTTGTAGGGTTAGAGCATGACTGAATAATGAAATGGCTCACATAACAATATTAAACATAGGAATTGTTTTTTAAACCAAATAACTTTTGAAGCTTAAGAGAAATAGTAAATACTAAAAATTGAAATTTTTTATTCTGTATCAGATGAGGTTAACACAGATACATCAATATTTAGATCACTTTCATCTAAATCGGATTCCTCTGACGATGATCCTGTATTTACCATAAATCTAAGTTGATCCATGGTATCATCACTAAAACTCTATACCTACACTAAAACTCACTGTAAACTATATTTAAATAAAACACTAGCTGCGTGATTATAGAAGAAAACATTTATTAACTAATTTAATAGTTATTTATGCAACAAGTGAAAAAAGTAAGTGTTTATTGAACGCGACGTGAAATTGTCCAACGAGGCCGTCAAGCCGAGTTGGACAACACGTCGAGTGCAATAAACACTTTTTGCACGAGTTGCATACAATATTTTTTCTACGTTCATGCAAAAACCAAAAAATGTTTTATAGAACTGCAGTTGTATTATCCAAATCATAGTAGCCGTGATCGTGTACCTTTGTTTGAGGCATTTATTTACGTTTGTGTTCATAATTTGTAATGACATTTTTAATAAAATACATTTTTTTTTATTAATTTATTTATTAAATGATTGAAAATAATATAAAATATGCAATTGTTTTTAAAACGTAACACAGAAAATGAAAATGGACTAAATATTTGGCGTTGATTTGAATATTTATGTTTGTCATGATCATAAAACGCTGTAGTAAAATGACAGATGAGTACAATAAAATTTTTATTGCACTAGTGCAGTTTTTTCACTAAATATAGTGCAATAAAGTTTTGTTTTTTGCATGAACGTGGAAAAAAGTCTTTAAATAGGTATAAAAAAAGGGCGGTACTTCAGGTGATGACGGGTCTGTGTACATCTAATTGTAATCGGATTCTACCAGAGCATTTCTTTATAAGGTTTGGTTACTCTGATGACGTCATATGTTACCAAAGCATATGTAGCTACATCTAGCGAGGCATTTCTTTATAAGCTTACTAAAATACTCTATAATAAAAAATAACAAAATCAAACCATTCTAAAATTTCTAAAATTCAAATTTCGTTTAGAAATCCCCAAATTTAAATTAAATTTGACATATGACTTTCAATAATAGGGTTACCACGGTATGTGTGACGTTACCACATTAACCACAATACTGTAACCAAGTATGTTGTAGTAAGCTTATAGAGAAATGCTTTTAGTTTAATAGTTGTTCGACATTGAGTAAATAGTACTCAAATAAAATGGTATATGTATATCATTACTTGATGAATATAGAAATAAAATAAAATTAACGATAATTGTATTTTATATTTATATTTTATGTTCCTGATTCGTCCAACCAGTATTCATAATAATACGCTATATTTTTATGCCTTATTTTGTGAAACGAGTCGAATAGTTTCAGGACGAGCAGAGCGAGGTCCCGCAACATGAATGTGTTACATACAATATTTTTTCTAATTTTGACATCTAGGCAACCAATATTACTTTCTTGTATTGTTATAGTTGCATATGCATAACTTCATTCATTTTATTGACAAATAGAAAATCACATTAATTTATTTACGTTGTAGTGAGTTTATATTTGCTGATTTAGAATGGAAAGTAAAGACCAAAATAAAATTATTACTAGTTTGTAAGTTTAACCAAATTATATTTTTTATTAGTCAACCTGCCCTTCTTTGACTTTCAATAATAATGTATATATTGATTTTAAAACCAAAAAAGGTTTATTTTCATTTGTATTATTTTATTTTCGCAACTGGTGATATAATGAACCTGTTTCATATTGTTCAACATTATTTAACTTGTTGCGTAAAGTAGATCATTTTGACACTTGCTGGGATTACAAAAAATGTTACTTTATATGTCAAAATTAGGAAACATAATTTTCTTTTTAATTTATATTACGTAGAATTTCCAATACCCGATAAGTTTTCACTTCTGACATATGATTTTAAGCACACGCCCTTTTTTGTTCAATAATTGTTTCTGTGATTATAGGAAATTCCACACTCATATACTACAATTCGACGGGACGGGTTCATGGGAATTCAGCGAACTCAACCACACTAGTCGCTTAAGTTTGAAGAAAGAGAAAGAAGAACTACTCAAAACGACCAACAATGAAGAGCAAAAGAAAAGACTGGACGAAATAAACAGATTACTCGCGGAGGACGAATAATGTTTTGTTACCTATTAAAATTTCCTGGTGATAGTGCTGTGATAATTCCAAACAAGCTAACAAAAGATATAGAAATAAAAAATGTGATTTTGGACGAGTAGTTACCTACTAACATTTCGACAAGCCCAGTGATATTTTGATTTGATGATTTTAGATTGCTTTGGAACCGGTTTGAATAATATTTGTTTTAACTACAGAAGAAAATTACAATGTTTCGGCATAAAGAAAACAGCAAATAAAATAATCCGTGAACAAAAGTGTTAGTACTACTACCAAAATCATACTGATTAGATAATAGACTTTTTATTAACACTATTTTAGTAATTTTTTTGGCGTTTGTTTTTGCATTACTTTTAGTCTGTGAAATCGTTTTACACAAAATACCATTTTATTGTTGTAAAATATTTGAAACAATTTTTAAAAGTAATATATTGGGTACATTTTATTGAGATTATTATAGTAGTGGTTTAAAAATTGCAAGAAATCAACTGTCATATTGGTGATTCAAATTATCCAATGTAAAAGAACCTAGAAACCTTGACATAAGAAGAAAAACTGACAAAACTACATCTAGTGTATGGAGTGTAGAGGTAAGAAGTACTATCTCTGTATACAAAAAGTGTCCCTCAATATGTATAAAATTAAGATGGCGCTTCTGCACCAGAGGGACACCGACATATGCTCGAAGCGTATTGCCTAAAAACTGCATCATGAAAAACCATCGTGAAAAGCGACTAAGCCTATAATGGTAGAAAAAATTGATAGACGACAATAGTGCTTTTCGTAGTTCGATTTATATATGGGTGAGCTATCTATATCATTATGTATCATTTCATCTTTCCCTTCTAGTACACGAGCGCTATCTTAATTTTATACATTTTGGGGGACACTTTTTGAGATAAACAACCGTATGAGATTGTACTCCTTTCCTCAACACTCCATACTCTAGTGCATAATCAAAGAAACAAAAAAAAAGAAGCAGTACTATCGCCACAAAAGGGAGGGACCTGACTTGAGGACCTTTTTTTTAGAAATGTGTTTAGGGCTCCGTCAAATATTCTGCTTTTCAAAAAGGTTCCGTCGCCAAAAATGATATTATTTTTTTGGTCTTAATTATAGTTGTTTATCTCATATAGTTATTTATCTCAAAAAGTGCACCCAAAAGCAGTAAATAATGTTTCAGAAAGTGACCACCAGAATGGCACTCGTGTACTAGATGAGAAAGATCCAATGACATAGTAATATAGATTGCACATCCATAAGTAAATGAAACGATGACGAAAAGCACTAGTGTCGTCTATTATCAAAATTTCTCGACGATTATAAGCTCAGTCGCTTTTCACAATGTAGTTTTCATACTATACTCATCGAGCATATATTCCCTTTTATTTACATATGGGTGAGCTATCTGTATAATTGTAGACATATCATTGGTGTGATCTGAATTATCGACTGGCACAACTTTTGGTGTCCTTCTGGTACAGTAACGCCATCTTAATTTTAAACAGTTTGAAGGACACTTTTTGTAAACAGCACAGATCTAGATTATCCTTACTTCTCTACCCTCCATATTCATAATCTGATTTTTCTCACTTTAAGCGCTGACGGATAACAAACTTGAGTGCGCATACTTAAACCCACAAAATGCGGAAAAATATAATTTGAATCGCCAATAAAAAATTAAATTTAAATTAAAATGTACCTACCTGTTATTTATGGATACCGAATGAATAATTCAAAAGCAGTTTAGATACAAATAAAAAATTATTGATTTGTTTTTGTCAAGTAATGATGTAAGAAAACTGTACCTAGCTAAAATTTTTGATGACATTCATTTAAATATTTAATAAAAACCATTATATATACTTACTTGCTTTTCCTTTTTCATTTTCCAGTCTATATGAGAATAATTCAAAAAAAATGTATTTATTTTAAATCAAAGGGTTCCCAACCTTTTTTTCATAGATCCTTCCTGGATTATAAATAGTTATTTATTATAGGAGTGAAAAATATTTTTCCATTGTATACCTAATACACTATTTTTTCTGTGATTGGAAAAACGACGATTTAATATTGAAAAAAATATTCTGAAATATCTATCTTTATTTATGTGTATATATCCGGGGAAAAAGTACTCACTTTTTTTCCCGGGGAAACACTTTTCCCGGGAAATGGGGAAAAAAGTAATTTCATAAAAAGTTACATTTTGTTACCTGAAAAGAGATAATATATCAAAACTTTTTTCCCGTCACAGAAAAAAATATATTCGTACCCCCTTATAACTTTTTTCATCGATATAATAAAAAAACACATCGTTTTCACAACATTTATTTCTCAATAACAAGTATAATCAATCGACTTAAAACTTTGGTGTTTACTCACGATTTTGCTGCTTAGTTTTGATTTGAACCAATGTTGAAAAACTTGTTTCACATAAGAAACTTAAGGAAAACTGCACAATTATTTGCAAAGTATGAGAAGCAACTTTTGGATTAAGGAAGAAACTTTTTATCCAAAACTTCTAATGTCAAGAGGTGGAAGTCATCTTTCATGGTAGAATCGGCCTTTATTTATAGAAATTCTTCCTGAATTTCTTCTGGTAATTGTAAGACATCGACCGCAAATGGATTTCTAGTCATGTGCCATATTGGTGATTCCAATTAATAACATTATAACGCTGAAATTCATGTTTCAACGCTTTCAACTGATGTACTATACCAGTTTTTACGTCTTTCCAGTCTTGTTTGTTTATTATTCCCTGTAGTCGGGAAAAAATAATTACTTTTGAGACCAAAGTTGAAGCCTACTAGACATATATTTATTAATAAGAGTACATTTAAGAGTCCAAATATATACATTGGGATCGCCTTTATGATCTCTTTACGCCTCCCTAGGGAGGCACGCCCCACTGGTTAAGAAGTCCCGTTGTAAATCAATTAAATATGTGCCATATTTATTCAGTTATCAGTGCTCCCTAACCTTTTTATCGCCGCGCACCTGTCAAAGTTTGATACCTTTACCGCGGCCCGCTGAGAGGGGACAACGTTTATTTTAGATTGTTTTAACAATTTTTAATTTAATTGTATTTAAACAAGCTTTCAAAATGAAATACAGTTACACCAAAAAATGAATGTAAAGTGATTTAACTTAACTCACTAGAACGTTAAATTAATGAGAACCCTTTGTTACGAAACAGTTCCATTAGGGGGTAATAAGACAATGACACCCGAAGTGTGCTGCTTATGTCCAGTTTATTCTGTTGTCGCTTCACACAGATAGGTTGTCGAAGATATTTTTAAAGTTGTCATCATTTTCAATATTCAGCAGTCGATATTTTTCTTGCACAGACATGCTAGATTCTCCTAATTTGTTGGCAAATGGGTCGCGGATCCATTACTTATCAGTTCGTGGGGACTATATTGTTGGAAAGTAGCGGCCGAAGTCTTTTAAAAGCAAAGACAGCTGACCTAAAGTTTCCGCTAATGTTTGAAACATGTTCAAAATGCATCTGTTCACACGCCATCTCCATAACTCCAGTTTGGCTTCAAATGCTGCTACTTTGTATGCCAACTTGAAAACAGTTGTCATTTTCCTCTGAAGGCACAAACTGAGTTTATTGAGCAGGCTGAATATGTCACACAAGTAAGCCAGTTTTGCGACCCATATCTTGTCACTGAAATTAAGTGTCGGCGGTGATTTTTTTTTCTAAGAGAAATCTTTGCATTAGCTCTCGTAATTCAAATATCTGATTCGCGATTTTTCTCTGGATAACTATCTTATTACCCGAGAGAAATACACCTAAGGAAATAAAATGGAAATAATTGAACGTTTCTTGGGAGGCCCGGTACCATATATGATCCACGGACCGGTACCGATGTGATTTTAACATTAGTTCGCCAGTTTCATTATTAAATAAAACTGATGGTAGTTTTTAGTTTGACGAGTTTTCAAAAGTTCTGCACGGTAAATTACTTTTCTAAGATGATAGTTCCCATATCAAGTAGGTATTACATAAATATGATTGAACTCGTATTGAAGGAGAGATATCAATAATAAAGTGACCATATTTTGAAAAGTAAAGAAAGCGGGACAAATCGAAAACATGAATTAAGGAGATTTTTCAAAATTGACAGTTTGGTTAATTGAACAGCAAAAAAAATGCAATAGTGCGCTGGTCCCGTCATCATCAAAATTTATTTGAAATGAATTATTTTTATTTTTATAAATCGAACAAAAGGGGCAAAATAATCGGAACAAGTGGTTTCAAATCGGGACTGTCGTGCCTAAAATCGGGACGGATAATCACTTTATCCAATAATTGTCACAACATACAAGGTAATGTATTTAAAAAACTGTAACAATATCAGAGTAAAACGGTAAATTTGGCAACATTGCAAATATCAAATCTAGACTCTGTATCCCAAAATAAACTTATCCCAAAGTTTGTAAAATTTGGACTACCCATCCAATTTCGAGACCCAGTATACCACAAATAGTCGGTATTCGCTCGGCCTGACACCGGCATGTCCGGGAAGCCCAGTACTCGGATTACCGTTGTCGGAGTTACTTCGGAGCCGGGAGAACCGTACCATTTATTGACGTAATTTAGAAGTAGAAACCGCATGTGGTCTATATTTGGCTTTCCAGACATGGGATGCAGCCTTACGGGCCGAACTATATATGAACGCGGCTACAATTAATGACTCGCGTATCGGGGACAACGCTACTCATTTGTAATTGCTGTGGTGGGAGGTGTTTGTGTGTGAATGCGCCTTGTTTGTTTTCATTTACGCTGTGACTAGCAGTAGTATTTTATAAACCTTAGAAGCAAATTTCATATACATTAGGTATACATATTTTAAACGCCGTAGCAAAATTTAAATATACCTATAGATCACTTGCAATTTTGAACAAAGATATATTTTGATTAAACAATGTAAATTCTATGTAAAATATATCTTATGTACCCATTTATAATTTTAATTTAGTCAATATTTTACATTTGATTGTTGAAATATATTGTTGAAAATAAATATTGTTTCATGTAAGCTAATTAATTTGTATTATTTCTTTAATAAAGAAAAAGTTAAAAGAGCGACCCATCATCAGATCTTGACCAAATGTATATATGTGACCACCCCGAGGTAGGTATACCCCCTTTTTGTTCTAACAAAAAAAAAAGAATCATAGAAATCGGACAAAGTGGTAAAACATTATCGCGAATATACCTACATGCAAAATAAAGAGTTTGATGATTTTTTCATGGGTCCCATTATCAGATTTTACCAAATTTATATGGGACCCCCCCGGAGGCACCCCCTTTCTAACAAAAAAAGAATCATAGAAATCGGACAACGTGGTAGAAAATTATCGCTGAACATACATAAAAAAATATTCTGACGAATTGAGAACCTACTCCTTTTTTAACTAAAGTCGACTAATAAAAAACTGTTACAAAAATACTGAATATCTTCATAACTAGTTAACTACTAAGTAAGAGGTCAAAACTTCTATAAAAGAAAAAGACTTACAAATCAAAGAATCAACTCCTCTTCTTTCATAAAAAAAGCTTCATTGCTTTAATATAAACAATTCAGCCACTAGCCAATGAATCAAAGGTTTTGTTTTATTTTGAATCCTTTTGAAATTTTATTGGTTTAAGACCTTAAAACATACAACAATACTTAATTTTTAATTTTTATAAACGAACATACATTTTTTTAAATATTTCTAGAACCAAATGTTGGCTCAATGATTTCCTAATAGAAGTCCAGCGAAGATGTTTTGTTTACATTCCAATCGCATTCCTCGAGTGCCTGAGTCACAAAAACTAATTAATTCACAAATTAGTCATCAACCACTTGTTGATAACGAAGCTATGAAAATATTTGGGTGTGGAAAACTTTAAATTAGGAGAATTATTATTAAAATGAGCGGTGAAATAGAGGTAACAGAAACACCAAATTGGCTTAAAGAGCTTGAAGAGAAAAGAGAAAAACGACTAAAAGCCAGATTGGGGCATGAGGCAGGTGCTGGAGCGCCTTGTTTGAAATGTGGTGAAAAATGCCCAGGTAAAGCAATTATCTACTTTTCACAGATTTAGTAAGTCTTCTTACCAGACACTGTCGCCTAAGAAGGCACATGAGTTTCATAAATCGATAAGAAAACAACATTGTGCAGGTTGTGTGAAGAAGGGGACACTGATACATCAATCAACGTCCTGTACTAGTGTGAAAGCCTAGCTAGGTTGGTGAAGAAAAGCCAGACGCATGTAACTACATGCCGAAGACATTGTCAAAGCTATGTCTAATAAAAAAGACCAAGCTAGACGACTAACTTTAAATAACAGAGTTCCACAATAGATCTGAAAAAGTCACAGTAAACAAGGACATATAATGTCCAACTTCTTTTAAATCTAATCTAATCTAGATAATAGAATACTAAAATAATATCAATAGACTACTTGTGTTTTAAACAGCTGCTAAATAATAATGAAAATAATTTTTTTTAAAAGTGAGAAACGTAAAATTAAAATACATTTTTTTGTCTTTTTTAAGTGACAAAACCCTATAAAAATACTTATAATAATTTATTTTTATTTTGTTAGGATTGGACCTACATTTTTGGAGAAAGTGTTGTAAAAATTGCAAATGCCCGAAAGAAGAGCATGAAGTCCAGGATGATGACATATATGGATGGGCCCAATTCCAACTTCTTGGCAGTAAGCCTAATAAAATTAAAAGGAAAATTTGTGAGTATTAATTATTAATTTAAAATTATTTTTGAAAGTTCAAAAACTAGCTTTTTAGATGTAACAATAGAGAATTTTATTAAAAAACAATGATCTAATTAGCAATTAAAGTACATACTACATTACTGCTTCACGCATTGCTTATTTTTTTTTACTAAATGACTGACATTTTTATGCTCTCTCAACCCTTCCATTGGGGGCATCCTGACCTTAGCCTTGTATTCTTGATAAACATCGTGATGAGTTTCTTCAATACTAGGTTCTTTTACTTTCAAGCATTTGTCCTGCACTTCTTTCATTTCCTTTTTGACTTCCTTCTGAATAGCTTTTAGATCCTCATCCGAAATCAGTTGCTGGGCTATGACTTTTTCTGCAAAATTCTTTATGCAGTCTTTGCTTTTCATTATTTTATCAACTTCACTTTTGCTTCTGTAGCTGGTGCCTGGATCTGACATAGAATGGCCCCTAAATCTATAACAGAAAAGACATAAAATTCTTGTCAAATTTATAAGGTTTTAATTTTTTCCTGACAAGAAATAATAAAGACTCTAATTTCTCCCCTTTTTGTGGAAGAATTTGTAATTATGTATGTATAGACAATTAACAGAAATCTCATTTTCCTACAACTATACGTTTCACAAAAAGGAGAAAAATTGGAGGTTTGTTCATCATTTCTTGGAATTTTCAATGGGCACGCACCTCAGGGGTCTCACTTTTGGGACCCCTACTCTTTAACATACAAGAGGTAATTTATAAACTTTATTTGTATCCATACAGCAACTAATAAGTTGTATTAATGTGATGTATTTCATGTGCCAAACAAAAACAAACCCTTCTGTCAATGAGATTTTTTAAATATTGTTTTTACAGAGATATTTAACCAATTTATTTTCAACGTAGCTTTTACTTTAAAATGAATGTAATCTTAAAATTAATAGAAATAAAATGTTAATGAATTTGCTGTTTTACAAAATTGATTATGTACTAAACGATTATTTACTTTAAGAATATATTTTTAGACATAAACTCACTTAAAAGAAATTATAACGGTTCAAAAACTAGATATTTAGTATATAAACAATTTTATTTGGCACATTAGCAGTGAAATTGTTCCTTAAATATATTAAACATTTAAAAAATCTTGAATAACTTTTCTCAAACAGCTTATGATTTACTTACAAGTTATTGAATCTGAATCATGCAGAAGACTCCCAAGAGCTTTTTTATCATAAAAAGAAGTAAGCTTTAACACCCACAGGTGGCAGTAGGTTTCGGTGTGTAATAAACTTGACAGTACTTATATTGATAAATGATATTGAGAAGTTTGCATTTTAGGTTATGTTTTAATCATTGCTTTCTTATAATGTAATTTAATCTTTATTTTTATTTTTTACTCTAATAAACAAAACAAATAAATGGTCAACAAATGGTCAAGCCTATTCTCATCCATATTCACTGTTGATAAAGTGGTTTTAAAAATGAATGGCTTAGATTTAGCAAAGAATGCCGGTCCAGATGGAATACCTCCATCAGTGTTAATGATTTGCTGTGATACATCTGACATCAAAACTATAGAAGGATTTTTTTGATTCCCACTGAACCTAAATTATTTGAATCTATTCTGACTGATGAGGTATTTTCCAAGTATAAAAATTATATTTCTTCCCACCACTACCAATCTTGATATATGCCAGGATTGCTTAATTTCTACAGTCAAAGTGGGTTATCAAGTCGATGCTAGGTATACAAATCTGTCTAAAGCATTCAGTAGTGTCTGTCACAAGTTGCTAGCTCAGAAATTTTCTCTAAGTGGCATCATCTCTTGCTTAACTGAATGCTCTCAGAATGTTTTGGTTCATGATTCAGTCTCTTGTGATATAACAGTGACTTATGGGGTTCCTCAAGGTTTCTACATTGGTCCCATTCTATTTATATTGTTTACAAATTACGTAACAAATTGCTTCTCAAACAGTTGCTATCGACCTAAAGTCTTTTAGTAAAAGACCAGCTATAACTCTGCCTTACAAGCAGATCTGGACTGTTTTACTAAATGCTGCACAATCAGTCGTTTGTCTCTTAACTTTAGCAAATGTACTATGACTCATTTTATAAGATCCTCTAACAGTAAAGAATGTTCATGATGTTATATTAGATAGTGTCTCGTCCATTGAATGATCTTGACACACATACTTTGATTTTCTTTTACTATACGGAGAATGGTCGCACTGCGCAGCTTTCTGAGTGCCTTTTAAAAGGAGATAGAAAACTCCGCCATTTTGAACCCTTATTACGTGTTGCCTACATCTTGGCGCAATATTTTTAATAGGTGCGTTTTAATCATCCGCTTCTACTTCGGAATTGTCGGTTTTCTTGTTTTAATTTGACAAGTTAAAACGACTAAACCGACAATTCCGGAAGCAGAAGCGGATGATTAAAACGCACCTGATATTTTGCTTGCGGCTGTCAGTGTCAGTCAATATTATTTTTTGAGTCACAGATTATTGCTAAAGAATCAGTTAGCTCACTCGGACCAGTTGAAAATTTCAAAATAAGATCCACTCCAGGGATACAAATTTAGCTATAAACTGTTGCATAGGGTTCAAAATGGCCGGGCCCTATGTTGGGCGTGTCGGACCTCTCTCTTGCGCCGTATAGTAAAGAAAATCAAAGTATGTGTCTTGACATCATCCTGGACACTGATTTGACATTTAACCAACATGTCGAGTCTATCATTTGCAAGACATTTAGAATGCCCTGAGTGCGACATTTTCAATATAAGCTCACCACCCCTTAAAAGAATTCTCAAATTCGGGTGCTAGTGGCTTTGTGCTTTTGATTTATTTTTTGTTTGCATTTTTATTCAATTCTTAATTTTACTTTAAGCTTTGTATACTACTTAGGTAATGTACTTTCTGTAATGTTTGTTCCAAATTAAATACACTCACTGTCACCTTATTTAATCATACCTGTATGTATCTAGCTGCAGTATAATTGGCCCCTTCCCAGCTCTTACATACGCAGCAGCAAACTTTCCTGCTTGTCTTACAGCAAGAAGGTCCATACCATCCACCTTTATTCCAGGTATCAGATCTCCTCTTGTAAAGTATCTTGTATTAGCTGAATGACGTTTTGTCGCTGTGCCCATGCTGTACTGATTATTTTCTATTGTATACACTATTGGAAGATTCCACAATTTCGCCATATTGTACGACTCAAACGTTTGGCCTTGATCCGCTGCACCATCGCCGAATGAAGTCCAGGAAATTGCGCCGTTGTTTCTATACTTGTGTGCCAAAGCAACTCCCGTACCTAGAGGGACGTGCCCTCCAACTATGCCGTTACCACCGAAGAAATTGGTGCCGTACATGTGCATAGAGCCACCTGTCGGAAAATAAGTTACCAATAACTCTTGATCACGTTTTTTCTTGCTTTAATATATTACTGACCTTTTCCTCTAGCGGACCCATTGATTCTGCCTAACAATTCTCCTAAAATCATTTCCACAGTTTGTCCCATCAGTAACGCCCAACCATGACATCTGTATGAAGTGATTAGGGTATCTTTAGGGCCCATTGAAGGCTTTAAACCTACCGCACAAGCTTCTTCGCCAATATAAAGATGGCAAAATCCTCTGATCTTCCTATCTAAATACAGAGCCTGAGCCAGCTGTTCCATTCTTCTGATTCGTTTCATTGCCTTAAAATTATAAAGGTTTAATAAACGAATTTTTTGGAAATTATATACAGTGGGGACGTAAATTGTACCCCTACCTCTTAACTTCTAAATGAAAGAAGATAGAGACATAAAACAAAAATGAGGTGAAATTAGAGAGATATTTATTTTGTTATAACGAGTTCTCTTTACTTGAGTATCTTAATTTTCTAATCGAAAGTAGTGTCATGTGATACCTCATTTGAAAGATATTTTTATTATCTTTACGTCCATGCAAACAGTTTTAGGTTTTTATAAAACACAACCTGATTCCATCAACGATTTATGGGATCAAATTTTACAAGTGTGTGCCACAAAAACCGCAGAAACTAGAAGATACTTTTTTAATAGGCTTTTTTTATTAAGAAGTTATTGGAGAACATTTTGAATATTTAATACGTTATTACCCTTGATATTCTGAATTAATTTTAGTAAATTCTGTTTCTTTAATTTGTAAAACGCGTTTTCTTTGTAATAAACAATAATACGAGGGTTATCAAGAATGTAACTTATTAAATTATTTAATGTAATTTCTGCATACACATAAAAAAACCTAAAACTGCTTGCATGCACATGAAGATAATGAAACTATCTTTCAAATGAGGTATCACATGACCCTACTTTCCAGTAAAAAAATAGTAGCCCCATCTATCTTACGTCTTAAGTAAAGTGCGCCTCATTATAATAAAAATATAATATATCTCTAATTTCATCTTGTTTCATGTCTCCAGTTCCTTCCATTTAAAAGTTAGGAGAGGGAAGGGGCACAATTTACGTCCTCACTGTATAATTAAATTATCTGGCCCAGGTTATAAAAAAGATATAACATAGAACATGAACATAATATAGAAAATAAAGTGTTTTAAGAATCGTACAAATTTTACCCTGAGATATTGAAGAGCTTCTTCTTTTGTCAATTCCGACGTCAGTGAAGGGCACTCGTTGAGACCGTATACTTCAAATACGTTTTCCGCCAAGGGTACCTTTTGTCCTTCAGATCGCTCAGCTACGTATTGGTTTGTTTTGTGTCCATCTTATTTCAATAAAACCTTAATTTGATCTATTTTTTTTATGTATTTATATACGAGTATACACTTAAAATTTGCATGAAAGGTATTTAAATTGAGTCCCAAGGACAATAAAAGGGCACTTGACAAATTTGTATATAAATTGAGAAACTAAATATTCGATTTATGTTAGAATGTGTTACCTATCATTTTTATATTATTTGTTTAAATACCTTTGTAAACATTTTCCTAAAATTTAATTTCTAATTAAAATGCAGGTCTAAAAAAATGAATAGATCAATTGAAATATCATGGACGTTATTATAGTTCAATCAATATGTTCTTTTTATAGCATCATTCTTTTAAGTTCAGGACATTTTTTGTTCATCAATACATTTTCATACCGAAGTTTTTTTCATAAACACAGAAAAAAGTTTGCAAAAAGTGGTTGAACTCTTTGAAACTGGCGCAAAAGCCTTTGAAAAGATGTGAACGTGAGTAAATTATTTTCGTTCAAATTTACGTATTCAACGAGTGTTCATGTCTTGTTAAAACGGTTTGAGCAGGGAATTTGAACGCTATCCACATTCATCCATCATGTCAGTGCCGTAGTTGCATTTTAGATGGTATGAACGATCAAGGCCTCATGTTAATAAATAATATGTGCTTTAATTATACATATTTCCTGGAGCAGTACTGCAATTTCTGGAACAGTACAAAGCGGACGTGTCCATCTACAAGTGCTTGGAAAATAATTAATTTCTGAAGAAGTTGTAATCCGTGAAGATGGTGTCTAACGCGCAAGTGTGCTAACCTGGCAAAATATTTATCGATGGTCACAAGACAGGACCTCGTAAGCTGCAAAATAGACATTTTTCATATATATAAAAAAATTGTTTAAGTATAGAATAATCAATTTTACTCTATAATAGTACTAATATTTACCCATGTTTTGTTCAAAAATTGTAATATTTCCCCTATACAGTAGATGGGGCGAAATATTTTAAGCAAGATTATCATAAAATATAATTTTCAGTGGAAATGTTAGTTACGAGGTCCTGCATTGTGGCCCTCGTTATGAGGAATCCTAATGCGATTTGGAAGAAAAATGACCAAAAAAGAAATAAAATGGTGTCATTACAAACCCTCTTATTTAACACATTGATTGAACTAAGAGTACAAATCAATACCTAGTAAACGAGATGCTAATCCTGCATTTGGTACATTTGCTGGAAACGGCGTTGTAGATATATGACGGACTATTGGCGAATTTTTCAGTATATAATTATTAATTGCTTTATCAACTCCATTTACTATCTTATATAGCTTCGAAGTATTTACAAAATTTAACAGTAAACCGTTCATATTTTTGACAAATTTGAAAACGGCGATGACACTGCTATCAGAGATAAGGGACATAAAGATTGGAAACGCAACGACCGCAGCAACGATGGCGTCATCTAGCGTCTCAGATGTTAACTACAGGTCTACATCGTTTGTAGAGAGAGCAGTGTTGCCAAATATTTTTTTTGAGAGATCGTATAAGTATAGTAGAAAAATGGTATTTGGACAAAAAAAATTGTACAATAGATACATGCATAGCATAATAAAACTTAAATGGAATGAAAAAAAAATCTCTGCCATGATAATTTATTTATCTATTTATGAAAATGTTTACAACGAAAAAAAAAAAACTAAAGAAAATACATGAAACTTTAAAATAACACATTTAAAGTAATCTATGACTGTCACTTGAAAGTGAAATTTTGCATGCAAGCTTTTCTTATGCCGTGATAGTCGGTGTACAAAATTACCATGGTCAAAATCACGATAAGTCAGAACGAAAATGACTGCCTTCAGAAATTATGAACGGCCTATGAATCTTTGCAGGTAGTTTTTGATTTTTATTGTTTTATATTCTGAAGTTGTTGCAGATGTTTAAATAAACCTAAACTAAAAAAGTGAAGATTATATTTTTACGTACGATCTCACTGATGCAATCGTACATCATACAGATAGTTAAAAATCGTATAAATACGATTTAAATCCTACGGTTGGCAACACTGAGACAGATAGTAGCAGTGGACAGTTTGTAAATCTAAATGTCAGTTTTATGTATATCCAAAGTATATCGAAGAATCCTGAATTTAAATTTTGAGTTCATGATTGTGTTGTCCTCTAGATGAACTAAGCGAAATAGTTGTGGCTGTTTTTGTGTAAAATTTAAGGACAATAATTATATTTTGTAATATTACAATAAGTCGGAGAACGTATTGCATTAGTAACACATGCCACATGAACAAATTTAACAACCCCAATGTGGCGTTCTTTAATTAACCAAAGTAGGTAAGATCTATTCAGTAAGTAACACAAATAGTAATCAACTTTTGTCACAAAGTAGGTGCTTATGTATTATTTATTGTTTTAGAACAAGAAAATGGCTTCAAAACGTTAGAAAGAAGATTTGATATAGGAAGAAAAATATCTGAATTCCCATTATTGATTTGCACTCAACATTTTTAAATAAGATGCCAAAATAAAAACAAAAATGCAGTGTTACATATAACAATCAAAAATTAAAAAAATATTTGTCATCAATATAGATTTACAATAAGTAATCGATAATAGACTGTAAGTGTAGTATTCTTTTTAATAAATAATTTAGCGTAATAACATTGTTTAAATTTATTTACAAGAACATGAGAGTGCAGTCGATATTTATGCAATCTTTATTATCAGGTTTATTTATTTCCCGCTGCGTTGTTTGATAACGATGAAAGCGTCACATAGTGGGCCAGATGTTAACTGCGATAAAGCTGGTCTATGGAGGGTTGGTCGTTGTTAAGCATTGGCTTCTTGGGCGTTTCCTATCTTTATCTCCCTTATCTCTGACTGCTATGGCGTTGAACCAGAGATAAGGGACGGAACATTATTACATTCCGTCTTAGATATCTGATTGATACTACGTCACAGTGACCTTTTATGGTGGGAAGGCGTGGCTTTTACGAAAAAGCACGCGAAAATAAATTTTAATCTGCTCATGACTAATCAGATATTCCATATCACAATACATCATGAGCGAACTCGAAGAGTTCGTCAGCTATATTATGTTATGTTAATAAACTGCGACCTAAAATATCTACTATGCCCCTTTCTGTCGCTAATGCAGTAAGGAAATGTCTCAATGCTTATAACAACCCTTCCGATTCTATCGTCTCAAGGAAGTGTAGGATTTGTAGTGGCTTCAAGTTAGGTAAATCTCATCAAATCACGACTGTTGAAAGACTGTCTAGAAGACCTGGCAGAGCTAATTAGTCAAAACAAGGTGACCCTAGCCTGGGTGCCAGGCCATGAGGGATATCGGGGCAACGAAAAGGCCGATGAATTAGCCCGAGAAGGCTCAGATAAGGCCAAGACAGGCCCCAAACCCTTCTGTGGAGTTGCTAAGGCATTGTGCAAGGCATCCATTAAACAATGGATGCAAAAAGAGTCTCAGGAATGGTGGAACAACTATCCAAGACTGAGAAAGGCTAAACAGTTCATCAAGGAACCATCGGCCAAGTTCACGAAAGACCTACTGGATCAAAAGCGTCAAATCGTTAGGATAACAGTAGTCCTTCTCACCAGACACTGTCGCCTCAAAAGACACATAAGTGTCATCAATCCAGCAGAACAAGCAACTTTGTGCAGGTTCTGTGAAGAAGAAAAGGAAACATAATTTTACGTCCTGTGCCAATGTGAAGGCCTGGTTGGAATGATGTTTTTAACATTGGGCGAAGAAAAACCAAACGCATGCAACTACATGCGGGAGCCACTGTCAAAGCTACTAAGTCTAATAAAAAAAGACCAAGCTAGACGACATACTCTAACAAACGGAGTCTCACAATAGACAAGGACAAACAACGTCCAACTCCCAATCTAATCGAATCTAGGTAAATCTCCTTCTTCTATTTGATATGCTCCTAGGTATAGTGCCCTTGGATTCTGGAGTGCTACACATTCAGTTAGAATGTGAATGGAGGTTTCGTCCTCCTCCTCACAGAATCGGCTAAGTATGGTCACAGATCTAGTAAGTTGAATCCAGTGGTTGTTAATGGACTATAACAACGCATCGGAATTTTCAATCTTATTTATGTCGAAACAATAATGGTGTTTATAACAAGAAAACATTGATTTGTCCTTTTACTTAAGCATTAATAGCCGGAGAGCTAGTAACACACATTTCATTAAGTGTTTGATTCACTTTGAAATTTTGTAATTTGAAATCATTTGGATGTAAAAGCAGATATACCTACTATCAAAATTTGGATAGTGTGGATAGCAAGTTGGTGGTTCGAGCCCCGAAACTTTTAATTTTTTTTTTTGTTTTTTTTTCCTAAAAAAAGGAAAAATATTGTTTTTCTACACCCGTATTATAATAATGCACTTATATGCCCATAATCCGTTTCATAATGATACCCATTATGATACAGATTTTTCATTACGATACAGATTTTTAATCAATAGAAACCTACAATTTTTCAATCAAGCATGCTGTTTGACGTTTGTCCTAGGTTCCTATGTAACTATTTTAGTTGTCAAAACGTATTAAATTTTCGTAGGTAGCTAAACTTCGATAATTATAATATTAAAATGTCTGATATTAGCGATATAGAAGACTCCTCCACACATATCGGAGAAAGCAGAAAATACAGTACAAAATATTTTACCGCAAAAATCTAGGAAAATACCAATACCTGAAGTAATACCATTAATTACAATTTTGTAGAATTTTTTATAGAAATACGAGTAATTACTGTTATTGTGTTCAATACCAATATAAATATAATATTTATAGGTCTTGATTATTTATCGGGTGTAGAAAAAATAGCGTATGCAACTCTCATGTAATGGTTATTAAAACACTCGCATAAACCATACGAAACTCGCCTTTGGCTCGTTTCGTATCCCGGTTAATGCTCGTGTATTAATAACCATCATTACATGATCGTTGCATAATATACTATTTATTATTTCACAGTCTTGGTAATTTAAAATATTTAGTTTTTAAAAAGTATATACTTATCCAATGCATAGTGACGCATGGGGTTCATTCATTTTTATGTTGGCTAGCAATTAAACCCCGGAAAAAGTGTCTGCCTTTTTGGAATTAATTTTTTTTATATTTAATTAAGGCGCTATTAAAATTTCAGCGTGAATCAAACACTTCAAATCATATTTAAAAAAAATCAACTTTGGGGTTGATTTATTTAATTATAAACCCTCTCAAAAGAGTCTGCCTAAATTACTATTATTTTTAGAATTACCTAAACTTTCAATTGTTGTTTGTTGGCCTCTGAATCAAACACTTTTTTGCGTCATATTTTACGACCCCTTTCTATTATGCGCAGTACCTGGTGTCCCAGGGTGGGTCTAGCCAACACAGGTATATCTGCTTTTCCATCCAAATGATTTCAAATTACAAAATTTCAAAGTGCATCAAACACTTAATGGAATGTGTGTTACTAGCTCTTGGACTATAAGAAGAAAAGTGGTATTGAAAAACCATTTTTGATGAAATTTCCCGCCTTAATTTACCCTATAGAATAACTACACATTGTTACAATGATGCCAAATATTTTTAAATAATTTGTGTTTTCTTCTCGTAATGCATAAATTACTTCAGTGGTTTGTATTTTTGTTCTAGTCTTATCTGACGTTTGAGGACGTTTTTAAATTAGCTGAAACTGCTTTCGCAAATCCAGGATCTATGTTAAATACTTACAAACGATTCAGAAATAGAAATATTAATAGGTACAGAATTATATGAATTAATTTTAGTTTCAAACTGACATATATATGAAGTTTCTGACATTTGGTTTATTAGAGAATATAATAATGTTGCAATTAAATTAAAAGCTCGGGGTACCGCCTAAATGTAATCAAGCGGTTTAGGTGTGTAACCAACTTTACTGCCTGTCGAAGTAAAAAATAAAAACTTGAAATTTTTATTATAGGTATTATTATTTATTTAAAATATACAACGACAACTACAAAATTTTGAAAATATACTATCAGTAAATTTTAAATGACGCTACCATTTTTATTTTGTAGCAATACCACTTAATGCATTGTCCAGGGGCCCTATCCTCGGCTATCGTTTTCTAAAAAACGTATACGCTTTAGCAACATACGAGCTATTCGCTATTCTCGACATTCGTTTTAAAAGCGTGTACGCTTTTAAAACGGGTGTTTTACAGCGAGCGGAATTTTTCACACGTTTTTGATAAAACGTGCATGTTTTCAAGGATTTAGTCAATGTCACTTATATGTCACTTTTAGGACGATTAACAATATTGATTGATTTTAACAAATTCTAAGTAAACTACTTTTTATTAATACCTACAAAAGTATCTGATTTCTTATAAATATGGTTTGCAGTACTAAAGAAGTCCATTAGCTGAGAATTTATTTCAATTATATTATCAATAATTGTACAATTAGAAAACTTAGAAGATAAGAATCCTTAAAGATTCAGACTTGCCGAGGCAGAATCCAGTTTTTGATTTTAACTGATATTGAATGAATATTTTTTATATCTTACCGTGTAAGAATTTAATTATTAATTCATGTATGTTTTATTTACAAATGTTAATTTGCTTGCGGTTCAAAGCTCTTCTGTATGTATCACACGTTGTGTCCAGAAATGTTTACAATTTTGTAAAATTGCCACAAAATATTAAAGAACTGAATAAGATAAGCAAAGTTATTAGTTAAATGAATTTTTTACCATAAAAACTAGGTTTTTATGACGTACGATTTTCCTAGAATTATAGGTTGCATTAACTGCACCCGTATAGCTATTTTTACGCCAACAATTAACGATTCAGATTATCCTGAACATCGATATATATTATGTGATTAGAAAAAATCATCGTTCGACAAATTTACAATTGGTTTGTTGTAATTAAATTACATAATCCTTATTCTTTTATGGCCTGCACATTACTTGAATTCAACGATATAGACAGTTTACAGTGATGCCAGACATATTATTTGCTTGTTAAAAACGTACACGTCTTAAAAAACGAATACTCATCGAACGTCAGTCAAGAATATAGATTTCAAAAACTACTCGCTTTTCAACCACTCACTTTCGAATACGGTTCGTTTTTTTTTGCGATTGTCGAGGATATCCGCCCAGAATTGTTGAAAAAAGAATAGACACCTAATTATTTTTCTATTTCACTCTTCGTACAAGACACACATAGATGGAACTAATGGTAAAATAAAAGTATTTGGCAACAAAATTTAAATTTTCTGAATTTATTGGTATACGTCACGGGACATAGGAGATATACAATTTTCATCTTTAACAATTATTTTTTCGGCCTTCAGAGACATCTGAACAACAAAATTTTGCTAAAGTACTTTATAAGTGGTAAAAAAATTTGTCTGTTATAGTCCATTCGACAAAATGGATTGATTCAACTTATCAGATTGTTATCTGACGTAATGGCGGCTACAGTTAGCAGCAGCAGCAGCAGCAGCAGCAGCAGCGGTATTGATTTCTATACTTGCCATTTTTTTAATATGGTGGAACCATTGGTAAAAATACGAGGTAGATTAGTGAAAAGTTGAAAATAGTACCGCAAAATCTATAAAAATACATAGTTAAAAAAATAATATATAGTGAATTTGGACTAAAAACCTCAAATTACGTTCATAAGTTTCTACTTAAAAATATCGGATTTCGCCATCTCAACGTCATCGTGACATCGTCATAGCGATGGTAATTCAAAACAAATTCAAAACTAAATTTAAAATTTAATGAGTCGGCGTTTTTTGCTTAAACGTTGCCTAACGTAGGAAATTTGAGGTTTCCATTCCAAATATGCACACTGTATATGTGTTGAACAAACATTTAGACCCAGACAATTTAATCATCTGTTCAGAAAACCTAATTGTTTGGAAACCTAGTATTATTACCTATCATTCAGTACATTTATTTCCGCATATTTAATTTTTTTTTTGATATACATAAAAAAATGTGGTTAATATTCTCTCAATCTCTTTACTTTTTATTTAATTTTTCTGCTAATAACATTCTCATTTGGAACCAGAAATAAGTATTTCTGTTTGATGAAACCACATTTTGATATATGTATTTATGATTCTTTATCTTTTTATTTCAGTACTGCCAGGAAAAAAAGACGAAATCGACTTGGAATGGGTACCAAAAGGACATAACGAAACTATTGATAAGTACCTCAAAACTTTGCCTCCAGAAAAATTGCCAGTCAAAGGATCCCAGGCAGCTCAAGATCGAAAACAACTCCTTCAAAAACAAATACCTATTCACGATATAGATCCTACACTCTGTCATGATCTTACTGAAGACGAACTGAATAAGATGAATGAATACATTTCGTACGTTAAGCAAGCTAGTGCTGGCATAGGTCAAATCGTCAGCTTATCTAGCATTATCAAAGGAAAACTTCATATGTTAAATCCAGCAGAGGCAGCTATAATAGCTAGTCGGTACGCCAAAGGAGTACCTATGTCTGAAATTGTTAAACTACAAGGGCATAACAAAACGAGTACTTTGGGACAGAGCTTGGATAAACTGAGTTTGAAAAATAAAAGTCTACCTCAGTTTAACCCGAATGTTCAAAATCAATCTGAAGATATTACGAATCCTTTAGTTTCTACTAAAATGCACGATATGGAATATTCTCTGTATAGTAGTAATGACACAATTAGGCCGACACCAAATGCACAATTCTCATCAGGAATTGGTCCCAGGCAATTCAAAAATCTAACCAGTCAGGTGCCCATTGATCCGACAATTGATCAAAAGTACTTGCAGAATCCTAACTTTGATCCTAAAAACCGACCTAGCAATTTCATGACTTCCAACACTGCCCATAACATGGGATCTCTTAATAAAAATCCTCTTGAGTTTAATTCAGAAACCAGTGCCTTTGTCCCTTATCAGAAAGTTTCTGGTCTAAAATCAGGAGATGTTTATTCCGAAGATAACTCTTCAATGAATCCCAATTATGCTAAAAATCTTCCTGGACAAAACAGAAATAACTATCATGGTGTAGAAAATACCGAACAGATTTACGAAAATGTTAGAGACTTTAAAAAATCGCCACCTAATTTACCCAACTATGCACCTGCTAAATTCAATACCTATGCCGACGTTCAGAGCCCAACTAGGATTCCTAAAAACGTTAAAGATCTAGCATTTAGCACGTACGAACCTGGCGAAATGGATTCAAACGAAATCCGTGAACAACAAAACGGGTTTAAACTTGGTAAATACCGACAACCTGGTGGATATGCCGATGATATTCCTAAAAATTCCAACGGTTTCAGACCTATCGAAGTGGGAAACTATTCGAATCCACCCGCACATCATTTTGAACCAATCAACCCGACTGGACAGAGAGGAGTTGGTTCAGTAGGTAGTCAAACTGGCACTGATGCACAATTTAAATCGTTGCATACCAATATATACAATTCCAGTTCTTGTCCTGTTGATTCGATGCCTGAAGAATTTAGAAGCGGTCATCCAAATCAAATACAAGAAACATCTACAATTGGCGCAAGATCTGGTTATAATTCTCAGACGAATACAGATCCAAGAACTCAGAAATATGGTCACCAAGAGAATCTCGGTAATGAAATGTACACTACAGAGCCTGGTAACAGATACGACCATAATATAGAGGATCCTTCATACCATGGACAACAAATGGGTGTACAATCTGGAAATCTAAGCGGACAGGCTCCACATGACAGTCAGATGTACACTACAGATCCTGGTAATAGATATGGTTATAATATAGAGGACCCATCTTACCCTGGACATCAAATAGGTGTACACACTGGAAATGTAAGTGGACAAACACCAAATGCCAGTCAGATGTACACTACAGATCCTGGCAATAGATATGGTTATAATATAGATGAACCCTCTTATCAAGGCGTAAAACCTGGAAATACCGGCCATAATCCAAATGATGCCAATCAGATGTACATTACAGATCCCAGTAATACAAAATATGGTTATAATATAAATAACGTTACAAAAGAACCGTCGTATTCAGAGAATTTAACAGGTGTTAGATCCGGAGGTCCAAGTGGTCATTTGTATAATCAAACAGATCCGAAATATGGCCATATGAAAAATATGTCTGAACATCATCCTAGCGACTTGAGAATTAGCGAAGATTTTCTGAATCCGAGCCACGTCAACATCGGCCTGATTAAAGACATAAACTATTCAGATATAAAGACGGCTACTCACGAAACTGGCGATTTTTACGAAGAATACAGTCCTGATAGCATTAAAGAGATCTTAAATAACGTCATACTACCAGATTGCCATTATTGTAAGAAGCCTTTCGAAGAAAATGAGTTCGCCGTAACTATCGACAGAGCCAACGTCTTGTTCCACGCTGGGTGTTTCAAATGTGCTGGTTGTAACCAGATTCTGGCCGATAATGTGTACTTTTACAACAAGGACACTGATAATATTTACTGTTTGAGAGATTACGCGAAAATACGTGGTTTTCCGAGGTGCAAGGCTTGCGACGAACTGATTTTTACTAAAGAATATTGCTTGGCGGAGAATTCCACGTTTCATTTGAAGCATTTCTGTTGTACTGAGTGCGACATGCCTTTAGCTGGTCAAGATTACCTATTAGAGGACGAAATGCCGTATTGTTTGCCGTGTTTCGAACAAAACAAGGCCAGCAAGTGCAATAGTTGCGGTAAAACTATCAAACCTGACGAGGTGGGGTGTACTTTGAAAGATATACATTTTCACGCGGTCGATGCTTGTTTCGCTTGTAAGATTTGTAAGGCGCCGCTTATGGGTAAGAAATTTTTGATGAGGAATGATCAGTTGTACTGTTCTCACGAGTGTTTTGGTAGGGATCAATAATTAATAAGCCTATATCTAGGTTCGTATTTATAAATCGAACTCTGGTGAGTTTGCCCTTGAACGAAAATCGAAGTTCGGTTGTAACTGGTTTAGAGTTCCAGTGTTGCACTGGAATTTAGTAGCAAATATGCATCTGTGTAGTACATTTACGGGTTTGTTACCGCCCATCTCTAAATTCCCGCAATATAACCGAACTTCACTTTAATTTTAAGGGCGAATGCATATGTCCGACTCATTTGTGTTCGGTTTATTAATACGGGCCATAGTGATGTAATTCAAAAATGATGCCTCGCAGTGCAGCATATATTTTTAACCTAAAGGTAAACCGTAAAGCAAAATTTGTACTTTTACTATCCAATTTCCGCAATTGTCTGCGATTCCGCAGTTTCATGCAACTACTCTGAATTTCCTTGGCAATTCCTCGACAATTCACGTAATTTCCCTACAATTCCTGCCTAAATGCCTAAACTACTTTAAACCTGTACATTCCTTGCAATTGCCTACACTTAAAATTTCGACTTTTACAAGAAACTTCATTTCATGGGCAGACAATAATTGTCTAGAATAATTATTCTATGAATTATTTAATTTATGCTTATCCATTGTCATTCTGGTAATACATTCAAGTCACCAATCAAAATGTCTGTTATCTGAAAATGTAATAGCGTTTAACTTAGTTACTTTGTTTCATTAATATTAGCTATTGCCCTATAAGCAAGAGATGAAGTTTCAGGATATTGAAATTGCCTTAAAAAATGTTGTAGTGACTGAGTGGGAACTTCACCACTGGATTTGACCATGATGTACTCGTAAATAAACACAAGTAGTCACTAGGAATAATCTTCCCAAAATTAAAATTAATTTATCTCAGATAAACAAATGAAATATAGATAAGTAACGGACGCCGTTTAACATAGGCTTTGTTTGAAGCTAGTGTACATACAGAGTCCCTACTATTTCATAGGAACAGTATTGTAATTTCTTAAACGGTAACAGATATAAAGTCGGTTAAATTAGACAAAAGTTGCACAGTTTTGTGCTCATTAAAATGGTGCCATGAAACCTTTGATATCTAAAGGGAGATTTAAACACGACAGACTATTCCATTCACAAAATAAGCGTGTTAGTGACTAGTGACTAGCAGTAGTATTTTATAAACCTTATAAGCAAATTTTACATACATGAACAAATAATAATAATGCCGTGACAACAAGAAGACGAAGTAACGACTTCTCATAAAATTTCAATCCATACCTGGCTACGCCGACCGGCATAAACACCAACGGCCTGGGCACAGCTCATTTACTCTGTCAAAAGGAGACCGAGATACAAATAAAACGCGTACGACATGCGCATTACAAATGATTAGTGTTGTCCCCGATACGCGAGTCAAAACGTTACTTATCTGTATTTCATTTGTTTATCTACACATTTTATTCTGTTATAGTAGTTATAGGTTATGTGCAGAATGTGCAAAGTGAATGAGAAAATATATATTGCCGCCTTCTTTCAGGGAAAATATGGTGGTTATATTGACTTAATTGATTACCAATTATAAAATATACGAATATTTATTTTAACGAGAATATTATTGAAATAAAGTGGCCATATAATTGGTTTTTGGGAAGTTACTTCTATAATTGCGAACTGCTACTGTACATCATGGATTTGATCAATTTTGACTAGACATACGTGTCAATTATATAGGTTAGGTATTATATACATAGTAAGATGTGATATTTTTATATTTATATTATATACAATGGTGTATTCTATGTTAAAAAGGGCTTACGGTGACTATTAGGATTTTATGTAATTTAGCCAAAAAGCATCTTAAAAATATTTGGCAGTATCTTGCCAATTTAAAATTGTTTTAAGGTAGTTTTGAAAACCAGGGACTTTTCCCAAAAGATATTTATAAAGTGTTCAATCAATTTACATCACCTTTTATGGGAGCATACATAAATTTGATAATAATATGGCAGCTTAACATATTTTTATAAAAGTGTTTTGTACGGGGTAAGCTTAAATATATTTTTTAAATAATCGTTTACTTAGATTTTAGGGATTTCGAAAATATATGAGTTTCTATTTAGAAAAATTTCAATTTTAGATATTAAATATTTTGAATCGAGAATATGAATGCTGATTTTATATTACAGACGAAAGTATTTTTATATTTATTGAAATTCAAGAGAATCTGTATACTCAAAAATGTTATTTTATATAGAGCCTTCAACAATGCCCGTATCCCACGTGACTAAATTGATGCTGTGAGTTTGCAAAAAATAATATTAATAACTTCAGTAGTAACCTTAAAAAAATGTCACTGACGTATTTGACAGTAAATTTTCATAAATTTCACTGAGAACGGCCATTTTCATTAAATTTGTTGTTTTACCAAATCACGTGGAGTATGGGTATTAGGCATTCCAAACAAAATGTCTACCATTGGGTTATGACAGCTTGTGATATGGCAACCCTGTAGGCCGGGTGATTTGACAGGGCCAATGAAATAGATAGTTATAAAGATTGATCATCCATGTTTTGGTCTCTAAAAATATTTCTCTTTATATTAATTACAATAATTATTGAAATTGTCGGATCAAATTATGGCTAAACGATACATTATATAAATTATTTATCATTATTTAATTTAATCCCGTTGAAAAAGCTTCCTAGACACAACAAATTTAATAATTCAAGCAATTGACTGTCTGCCGTCTGTCCGAGCACATCGACCAGTTGCCCGGTTAACATATCAATCCATACTAAAGGTCACGCCATTCGCCTGTAGAAAGCGCTTCTTATACATAGAATAGTATTGTTTCAATCGCGTGTTCGGCGTATTGCTTTTGACATTTTATGCGTGCTGAATGTTTGTTAGGTAGTTTAAAGTATAATAAATTAAAAGTCGTCCTAGAGTCCCAAGCAAAATGAATAAAATAAGCAATCTGTTACTGAAACCTTTTTCTACGCACTCGCTCGAGGAAAAAATCTAAATAAAGGAACTTAAGAGACCTCTTCCCGATTTGGAAAACGCAGGAGGCTTCCACCTCAAGTTCGTCAAACTTCAAAGGCTGGATGAGAAAGTTTAACCGGAATTTGTACTTAAAAAATCACTGGATTTGTGGATGTGATGAAAAAAAAAAAACGCATATTTTTATTTTGTGTGTTTTGTTCGGGGGCGATTCTTCGTGGACGATGCATGGTGTAACTGATTTGGTCACATACTTTGATTACTATACGAGGCAAGAGAGAGGTCTGACACGCCCAACATAGGGCGCGGCCATTTTGAACCCTGTGACACAGTTTACAGCTAAAGAATCAGATCGCTCACTCTGCGTCGGCACTTTTGATATCAATGTTTCAGTTTATACACTGCAACTCGGATAATACAATATATGACAACCGCCTATAATAAAACAGCAGTCTTCTGCGTATCCTGAATTTGTATCCCTGGAGTGGATGTTATTTTGGAACTTTCAACTGGTCCGAGTGAGCTAACTGATTCTTTAGCAATAAACTGTGACTTCAAAAATAATATTCACTGACACTGACAGCAGCAAGCAAAATATCAGGTGCGTTTTAATCTTCCGGAATTGTCGGTTTAGTCGTTTTAGTCGTTTTAACCTGTCAGATTAAAACAAGAAAACCGACAATTCCGAAGCAGAAGCGGATGATTAAAACGCACCTATTAAAAATATTGCGCCAAGATGTAGGCAACACGTAATAAGGGTTCAAAATGGCGGAGTTTTCTATCTCCTTTTAAAAGGCACTCAGAAAGCTGCGCAATGCGACCATTCTCCGTATAGTAAAAGAAAATCAAAGTATGTGGATTTGGTACACATTTGTGAGAAAATTAAAACATAAATAATATTTTTAGTTATTCTTTGCTTGGAAAATCAAATATACTGACTCAATTAAATTCGGCTTATAGACAAAATATTATTACCCACAATAAACAAGTTGATAAAAACAGATATATTTTAAACATCATTATTAACTGTATTAGATTTTGTGGTGCATTACAATTAGATTGCGCGGACATGATGAAACCGAAGAATCCAAAAATAAAGGAGTGTTCCGAGAATTGATAAATTTTAGTTCTGAATTAGATGCAGATTTAAAGGAACATTTCAACAAAGCAAACAGTATTTAAAGGGACCTCTAAGACCATACAGAACGAACTATTAGATTGCATGCTTGTCGATTACCATGAAGAAGTGGCTAAAGAAATTAAAAAAACGAATTATGTAGCTGTAATTGCTGACGAAACTGCCGATGTTGCTAACGAATTTCAATTGGTCATTATTCTACGATACATTGCCTCCAGTAAGTCAGTAGAAAGATTTGGAAATTTGTAAATCCTCCCGGACACAATGCCATTTCAATAGCAAATTGCATTTTAAATGAAATTAATCCAATTAATGACACATCAAATAAGTTGTTCGCGGAGAGTTACGACGAAGCGTCAGTCATGAGCGGATGTATGAATGGGGTACAAAAAATAATTAAAGATAAATATTCTTTAGCAAATTAGGTTCATTGCTATGCACATCAGATTAACCTTATAATGAGCAGTGCAGGTTCAATTAATGCGTCTGTTCGGATTTTTTTCGCTCATTTAACTGGAATTTGTGCTTTTTTTTCTACATCACTTTAAAGAACAAAAGTATTGGATAATAGAGTTCATAGACGATTACCACGCTCATCACAAACGAGATGGAATTTCCAATCACGGTGCGTTAAAAGAGTTTATGAATACCGAAATGAACTGATACACGTTATGGATATTTTAGAGAACGACAAACATATTAAATTAAATTCTACGATTGAGCAAGACGGTGCTTATAAACTTAGATTACAGGACAGAGATTTCATATTTTGGTTAACAGTTTTTCATAAAGTCATGCCACATGTCGAAATAATTTTTAAGCAACTGCAGACGATTAATTCCGACCCTATCAAGGCTAAACAAGATCTGAAAAACTTTGAAAATGCAATGCAAAAAATTCGTATTCGTAAAATTAGGCTTCAACTACCAGGGTTATTTCGCCTCGTGTTATGTGCAGGCTTTGTTACTGTTTCCCAGCGCCACTTTAGGAACAGCACTGTTAATTAGAACCCAACATGTTATTTATTATTTTGTAAAAATGATAAATGCACACGTTAATATACTTTAAAATAATACCCAAGATATACTTTTTAAGGCCGTTGCTCCACCTAAGGCACCAGCCGCCACTGAATATGTCCACTCGCAAACGACCTGCTTTGAGCAATCTATATAACTATTTAACTATGTATGTATCCTTGACCCCCTTGACCCTGTCAATGACAACAGCCCCACAGTGTTGTCATATCTAAACTGTCAGTTCCCACTTGTCAGCATTTTGACAGGTCGTTGGAATGCCCAATTGTTGAAGACCAGCATTTGGATTCTCATCTTTCAATACGGCACATGTTGAGACACCTATCTTGATTCCACAGAATGCAATTATGTAATTCTCTCTATTTGTGTTGAGTTTGCACATAAGAATCCCTGTTCAGATAGAAGTTCATATATTTTATGAGCTAAAGTTAAACGAATAGAAGTGCCAATGTTAATTAAAAGATACATATTTTTCGTAAATATTTAATGGCAACTATAATAAAGTATAATTGATGTAAATTTTATATATATTTTTTAAATACCTAAAATTTTATAAAATTAAATGTTGTTTAATGCTAAACAATATTCAAAAAGAATTTATAAGAGCCTTGAATTTATAAATTTTAATCAAATATAAAGACTGATTTACATTAATAAATTAACAATAATTTTTGTAATTGTGCAGTTAGATACATGTAACTAACCAATGGTGCCATGTATATAAGTAATTATTCTAGATTTATTAAAAATAAATATATGTTGCTTTAATACATTTTCTATTTAAAATATTTTAATCAGCTTTAGATTGTTTGGAAAATAAAAATGATCATATTGTGCCAACTTAAAACTTTAAAAAGTGTCTTCTCAAATCAATATACCTAACGAAACTTTTTTTATAACTGACCAAATTTTATAGGTTTCAATTTTTTAATTCTGAAATGGCCTTTTAATTTTCTTTGCAAACTAGAATAGTTAATTTTTTATTGTATGTGTAGATCTATCCTGAAATAAAAATAAAAGAAAAATTAAAAAACAGTGGTTTAATTTCAAAGTCATTTTGATCTAGGGGAATCCCATTTTCTTATTGGCGGTACGGTGGAATATAAGATGAATCAACCTCTGTTTAAAAACAACAGAGAACCGAACATTGAATTGTATTGCAAAATAAGTATCTGTATCTGTAACGTGTGGAGGGTGGGTTACACCCACGGCACTTATGCCTCACTAAGCCCATTGTGCATCCTTCTAAGATGATAGGCACCTCCTAGCTCGTAAGCCAGCTAACATATTTAATGTAGTTGACAACGTCGCCAAGAGGTGCTTCTCTTATATTGGCCGATACTCGCCGAACACAAATCTCCTAATAAATGAGAGCGTCGAGAAATCGTAGAGGATATGCTCGATGGTCTCATCTTCTTGTTCGCACCCTCTGCAGAGTGCGGATTCTGACAGCCCCATGATATGGAGATGCTTCCGTACTTGGCAATGACCAGTCAGAATGCCTGTGATTAGGCGTAGATTCTATCTAGTCATAGTCAAGTATTTGTTTGCTGCAGTGTTGTCAGGATAACTTAAAAGCTCCCTGGCAACTCTGCAGTTTCTTGTTTCATCCCTTCTTTCCTTGAATTTCATAAGGGAATGTTCTGTAATTGGGTCTGTCACTACCGATTTTGTCAGGCCAATAGAAGGGCCAGGTCCAAAAAGTATTTGGTTGGCTGCTTTCATGGCCAGTGAATCAGCAAGACGGTTACCTTTCGATGTGGCGTGACCTTTGATCCATCTTAAGGTGACCACTTTGTTGATGGATACTTCGGTCAAAACTTCGTGATATTCTACTCTGAATAAATTCGTCGTCTTTTCAGGGTGAGTAGTGCTTGTCTGCTATCTGTATAGATGAGCATGTTCCTTCCAGTGATATTGTTTCTGGTGATTTCTTTTACTGCTATGATAATCCCCGTGAGCTTTGTTTGAACTACACTGGCACTGTTGCTCACATGTTAAGGTTTAAGGATCTGGAGTATATTCCTCATCCTGGGCCTTGTTTTGCTTTAGAATCGTCGGTGTAGATATGAATCGTACCTGCCACTTCCGGCTCTTCTATTTGTTCTGTTACCACTTTATATAGCTTATGGAAGATATATATCTGTGAGATGGAGTCTGTGTTCGCTTGAAGCAGTAGGAGCGTATCGAGCGCCTTCTGCCAAAAGCCGCGTCTCGCCTCACCAGATCCTACATCAGGTTCTATTCCAACCGTGCGAAGGCGTATCATTGTCGTCAGAGCAATCTCCTTGATGTAAATATAACGGGGAGTGAAACTAAGAATGACTTCCATGGCTCTGGTTGGTGTTGTTTTAATGGCTCCTGTTGATACATGCTGTTCTTTGAATTTATTCTAGGAGAGCTGTCAATTTTTGGGTTTTCGGTACCCAGACAACTACACCGTATGTTAGCATAGGCAGGGCCGCTGAGAGCCAGGCCGGGCCCCAGGACAATTCTCTAGATCGGGCCCCGTGATAAAAAAACTTTAACCAAAAACTGTTCTTCTTCTACTGAAATAGAATTATACAATTTTTCTCCCTACTTCAATTACTTCTTCTTCTAAAAAAAAAAAAAAAAAAAGCCGAAACTTCCCACTCTCATCTTGTGTCGAATTTCTCATGCAGAACAAAAAATGCTGTTGTCGGGCCCCCCTTACAGCGCTACCGGGCCCCCATTTAAGCCCGTGAGTTCCATGTTAACGTGCTGTCAAAGGTGATACCTAAGTACTTCACTTCTGTTGCAAAGCTTAGTTTTGTGTTTAGGAGTTCTGGAGGTTTTAATTTCATTTTCATCCTTTGTCTTGTGAAAAGGACCATTTCAGTCTTCTTAGGATTTATAGACAGTGAATGGTCCTTACACCACTGTTCTATAACTTTGACAGTTACTTGCATTCTTTCGCAGAGTATGTTCTCAAAATTCTCTGTTTGCAGAATGACCAGGTCATCTGCATATGCAAAATAAATATATAAAGTTGTCAGTGTATGAATAGAATATAATTTATTCGACAATAAAGTATTTTTACATTTTTACAATGTTTAAAAAACTTATCAGACTAGTCAGCTCATACATAGAAAAAAACCAAAAACAAAAACACCACACTGTCCAATTCATAGAAGTTTAAAATTCTAGAGCTAATAGTTAATATATTATACAGAAAACTAACACAAAAGACAGTTAATATTAACATGTCATCATTATTTGTCATTTATGAACAATGACCACAAAATAAAACAAATGTAGGTTGTGTAATTAATTAAATGTTTGTTATGGATGTCTAGATTTAAAATAAAAAGATAGTCTTTAATTTTTTACATTGACATTAAAATATTTAGGCAACACTCTAGTTACACCGTGGCCTACTATTACATTCTGCAAGATGACGTACCTAACTCATTAGTATATTTTCGATCTAGTCAACGTGAAAACTTTAACACAAAATTAAATAAAACAAAATTACTTTGAAACGTTTATTTGTTTGCTACACTTTTTGTATACAATTCCGACATAAATAACAGACCATTATTTTACATTTTAGATGACATTTGTTCTATAATGCGCTGGTTCAGTGATGATGTAATTATGGTTCCACTGACAATTAAAGTGACAGTAGATTTTTGAGTGCATTTTGTTCGTTTTGTTTACCTAAAGTATATCGTTTTTTTCACTTTTATAAATTTATTCCTAAAGTAAGTAGATAGCATGTATCAAATATACAATCGTTTAGTTACCAATTACATACCTTTAAACTATTTTTTGTGGCCTGTAAACAATATTTTAAAATAAAATAAAAACAGTAGAAACGTTTATGTCAAATTTATTGATGTTTTTGTTAAAAGTTTGGTTAGAATTAAATGTCAGTGGAACCAAAATGACATTACACTGAACTAGCGTATTGATCTGACTGATCCGAATTTACTAATTTTTGACGCAAAATTGAAGTTTGGCGTTTCAATTTGAAAGGTGTCTATTTTCTCTACATATCCAAAAATAGGAAAATCGGTAATAAATGTTAGGAAGTTAGAGCTACCGTTTTCAAATCATTATGGCTATGAGCTGTGATGTCTAATTAATTAAAAAACATTGTTGACGAGTTAGCGTTTGACATGTAATCAATAAACCTTTTAAATAAAGTTATATTTCACTGGTTTTATAATATTCTAAAATCAATATCACCTGAACTTCTCATTTATACGTCAAAAAGGCAGTAAATTCCGTCGGGTATATCTGGCTGAACGTGCCATTATATAAATCAGTATCGCAGGTAGGTTGCAACTCGTTTGTTTTTAGCTACAAATATTTGACAAAAACTTAATAAATCACAACCACAGTTACGTTTTGCGCTTCGCATCATCAAATAAAATTTACAAAACTGATTTTCGGGGTCTTCAATTTTGTATTATAGATTGTCGAATAATACATTTATTATTGCTAAATAATATAAATAATTTTTTATAATAACACACTTATTAGGTATTTTGTTTGTCCAAAAATTTATTGCTACTCTTAGTTTGGGAAAAATACCTGTAACAGATTTGTCAGTGAAGTACAGTGGTTTTTAGCATATTACAAAGTTGGATTATTCTGTTTGTCTATCTCATGTTATAATGGGTATGGGGTATTAATGCACTGCGACATAGTTATTTCGAATGGACGAAGAAATGGCGTCCAACGTGGGGCTTTTTTTAAGGGAACGTGAAATTTCATCAGATACGAGGAGCACATCTAAAGTAACCGAATTGGTTGAACCAAAATGAACGGCTTAAATCTAAATAAAATATATGGTCTTCTGTCACAAGAAATTCACGGTAATAGATCGGTAATAGGTCATTAAGAGATCGGTAATAGATCTGTAATAGATCTCTTTAAATTTAAAAATTGTGATCTTAATTAAAAAAATAAATAAATAATACCTAACTGACATAGGGGTCTATTCTGTAACAATTTATTTTATATTTAACGGCCTTTAAAAATATTGGCGGCCTTTAAAAATATGTTCGTATTCGTTAATTTACTTCTGTCATTATTTAAATAGATTTCTTTAAGATAGTCCTCTAATGTATTTTAAAGATCCGTTTAAATAATGACAGAAGTAAAATATTTTTAAAGGCCGTTAAATATAAAGGAATTGTTACAGAATAGAAACTGTAATAATTCAAATAGTATATTCAGATAGTGAAGGAAAATTAAATAAACAAATTGTATTTTTTTATATGAACTAATCAGATATTGTAGCATATTATCGGTATCTTATTTATCTGCATATTTATCTATTAAAAATCCTAAAGTAGAAATTAATATAAAAGTAATTTTAAAAAACCGTGCAGATGCCATTAAAAATTGAGTTTTTTTTTTATTTTCTCATAGATCCCATCATTAAAAAATAATCAACGTGGTAAAGAATTATTACTAAAAATATATAAAAAAATGAATAGTTCGATGATTTTTTCATGTACTCCATTATTAGATCTTGACCAAATTTATATGGGACCACCCCTGAGATACCCCCTTCCTAACAAATAATCATAGAAATCGTAAAACGTGGTAATGAATGATCTGTGAACTTACATACAAAAAATATTCCGACGAATTCCCAGACAACACACCAAATCCCAGAGATATCCACAGAATATCTTTTGTGGATATCCAATATATCCACAGGATATCAGAAATATCCCGTGAATCTAATATGGATATCCAAATGTCCGTCTATATCCAGAATATAGAAGATATCCTATGGATATCCAGCAAAATATCTAATAGGTATCTCCCAGACAATACAAGAAATTCCCAGAGATATTCACAGAATATATTTTGTGGATTTTAAATATATCCAGTGGATCTAATATGGATATCCAAATGTCCGTCTATATCCCAGGATATAGAAGATATTCTATGGATATTCAGCAAAATATTTTATGGGTATCTTTAGTAGAGGTTCATAAGTAATCAATGATTATTGAATAACGTCGAAAGAAAATAGCAGAGATAGAAAATATTTTCAACACTCTGCCTTTGATTTTGCCCACTAAGGAGAAAGTCATCCTTATTAGGACTCTTCAGCAATAAATATACATTCTCGACTCCAGTCTCTAATGGAGTCTGATTGCAATACCAATTTCGATCGAACTCAATTACGGCGGGTTGAGCATGAGTAGATATTCAACGAGCGAAAGTGGTATCGCCATCTATACTTAGTAAGCAAAATCAAAGGTCGCTGTAGTACCTAGTTCAGAGGCTAGGTGGAATAAAAGCCAGCCGGGCTATTCTTAAAAAAGGAAATAATTCTAGTCCTAATAAGGACGAAACCGGTCCAAGAATGACTTTTTTCTTAGTGGGCAAAATCAAAAATTACATCTAGTGGATATCCACCATGGTTTGCGTTCGCGCCTAGATTTTGATATATTTAGTGGATGTCCATGGGATATTGAATACACCTTAAAAAAATAATTTTAAGTATCTGAACGGTACTATTAGCCTCAATAGCGAGCACAATGGCGTAATTTGTTAATAATTTGCTATCCATCCAGAATCGGATGATTCAACCTGGAATATTGAAGAATATAAAGAAGGAGACCAATTAAGAGATAGAAAAAGGGATGTCTCTAAAGCACATTAACGAAATAAAAAATGGTGATTTTGTATGGGTTAATTTTGTAGGAGGCAAAATAAATGCTTAGAAGTTTCCATATGTATGTATTGTACAGGAGATCGTTGGGTACGACATTAGTATTGTTCAAATTACATTTGAACACTTAAGCAATATTACAATTACGTAATAATACGATCACATAACACTACACCCTCTCAACAACAAAACACATTCAAATACATGTACACATAATCTCACCTCTAGACAGAAAAATGCAATCCCATCTCTATCATTTTGCTTACGAACAACGACTCCCCCTGTAGAAGGCGAGGGACATAAAGAATACATAAAACTTCATGGAATGTTAATGAATATGATGTTAAAATTTGAACACCTATGGAATATTTTAGCATTGTTTTAAAAATATATCTAGAAAAGTCTCTCTGAGAAACGTTACAAAAACGACTGGTAATGTTTCATGTTAAGTGGGCAGTAGAGGCCAAAGTTGTATAATAAGTGCAGTGTAAATTTATTGCTTTGATTAGTGTCTGTGTTTTACTTATTACGTTATTCATGGAAGCTTGGGATTAGCCAATTCCCAATGGTTTTCTCGACACATCAGAATGTTCTGGCCACCTCACTTAAATGGACGTCTAGATCCAGAAATGGAAATAGACCGCCCTCCAAGTATTATGGCTTTAAACTGTATTGACACAATCAAGAAAACATTCATTGCAAATGAAAAGGATGTTTCAACAGTTTCTAATGGTCAGATTTTTGGAATACTAGAAAACCCTAAGGTGGTTTCTAATGGTGAATGTTTAAGATATGTATTTAAAAGTACTGTAATAAATAAAAAATGTATTTTATATACGTTCATATTGTCTATATAGAACATGTTAAATAAGAATGTTTGTTAAACAATGTTCACTAATAAATTTTATGTTTATTAGTATTTTTCCCTCTTTGTTTAATTATTGTCATCCATTGGTACCATTTCCTACAATGTCAACTATTGGAACATTTGACAGATCAGGCAGTGGTTCTTATATGTCATATACAGACATAGGTGTATTAGAAAAATATTTCAATTAACTAAATAGAACCCAGCTGAATGTATTATTTTTTGGATTTTTTTAACTTTTTTTTAAGCAAATTTGTTTTAGTAAAATTACATCCTAATAATGTCATCTACTAGTACACTTCTTACTCAAATATGATTTTTTTATATTTTTTTGTTCAAATAATAAAAAAATCAAATGCACAAAAAAATGGTAAATTTTGCAAATTTAAAGTATAAAAAACAAAATTCCACTTCAACCATATAAATTTATTCACTGCCGCAGAAGTCCGAGGTCAAAACCCCCAGGCGCTCCACTGATTTACTTTTTTTACATTTAATTGATTAATATTTTTTTAAGAAGGTATAATTTGTGTTAAATACAAAACAATTGTATTTATGTCTCAATGTATGTGTGACACAAACAATTGCAAAAGCCAGGTTTAATCTTATAAATCGAAAAGAACCAGGGAAACTATATCATGTTCCTCTGAATCAGATTCATCTTTTTTTTTACCATGGCTTCTTTCTTCTGAAGAAGCAGCAGCAGCAGCTGCAGGTGCATCTCCACCAACGGGCATGGAACTCCATTGTTCACTGCCTTTAGTGAGAAGTTCTTCAAAGGGCTTTCTATTGAGTTCCCCAATGACCTTGAGTTTTTGACCCTCCTCTTCAACTCCTACTGAACCAATATTTTTTTCAAGATTTGTTGACATGAACCGTAACCGTAAATATATTTCGATTCACACCCCTGCATGTTCTCGTATACAGTAAATTATTTTTGAATAATATAGGTTGACCGAAGCTTGGCATAATAAATCATTTAGGATTTTAGGCACACACAGAATAATCCAACTTTGGAAGAAAATATTTACAAAAGAGCAAAAGGTATTGATAAAAATGGTTTATCCAATAAAAAAAAAAAAAAAATGGTGAAAGATCGATTGTTTATTAAAAAAATGCATTCATTATTTTACTGATTGTGATTCTGTGAGATCATGTAGTGACTTTGCCCTTTTTTCTCACCTTATTCACCTCGAAATCGAGTAAGATTTTTCACCATTTTATTAGTGGCGGTCATATGGAGGGGAGGGGGGGGAGGTACCATGGCCCACCCTTGGCCTGTACCAAATACATCGACGACAATACAGTGACAAACATAATTTTAACAATTACTACTAATAAATTTAAAACATTATTTAAGCGCAATTCAAATAAGTAGGTACTTTACAACCAACTGCACAAAAACTTTTGTAAATACTGAAATATAAATAATATGAGGCAAAGTCGGAGGCTATAACCTCAGCGCCGCAAAAATTCAATAGATTCTTTGTTAATAGGTAACAATTTACTTGGCAATGATGGAGTAGATATATCTACTTGAAATACAAGGGTTGAGCCCCTTGCGCCGTCCGTAACCCATTTATAAATCAAAACCATTATTTATCTTTACAATGAAATGTAACCTGTTATTTACATGTATGAACCTGTTGAAGTGCACCTAGAGTAGAAGCTCGAATTCAAGAGATCCACATCTCATTATAAAATGGATCGTGTCGAACAACGAGCGGTGATTAAATACTTTTAATTAACGGTTAAAAAGAGATGACTAACGCAAATTCATAAAGATTTGGTGGATACTAGGGGAATCTGCAGTATCAGGTGACATAGTGAAAAAGTGGTGTCGTGAGTTTAAACATGTTTAAACATGTAGGTGGAGCGCCCACAATCGCTACTATACAAGAAAATGTTAAAAATATCCATTATCTCGTGCTGCAAGATCGATGCGTGACTATTAGACAAATAGTTGTAGATACTGATCTCTCATACCATGGGGTACTGTTACGCAGCACCTTGCAACGTGATGCAGTCGTCATAAGTAAAAGTACGAGTAAAAGAAGAAAATTGAATAGTCCAGAAAAGTCGGGAAATGTTATTCCTTGTCAAGAAAAATCTAGGCAGTTCGAGTTTTATGAAAGATGTTATATGTTAATGTTATCAGTTGTATAGTTATTGTAAAAGATGAGTTGAAATACATTGAGATACCAAAAACCTGCGTAACATTGGTGACAGCGTGGGATCCAAAATACAAGTTTATGGTAAATATTAGATCCATTGAGTATGAAACAGGTATGGACACTTCAGGTCCCCCAGCATGGTTTTTGAAGATGAAAGAGGAAAAAGAAAAGCGTAGGAAGGAAGAAAAATAGAAAAGGGAAAGGCGAGAAGAGGAAAAGGAAAGGCGTAAGAAGTAAAAAGGCGGAAAGGCGTAGGAAGGAAGAGGAGGAGGAAAGGGAAAGGCGAGAAGAAAAAAAAGGAAGAGCGTAGGAAGAAAAACGAGGAGGAAAAGGAAAGCCATAAAAAGGAAGAAGAGGAGGAAGAGGCAAGACGTAGGAAGGAAGAAGAGGAAGAAAAGGAAAGGCGTAGGAAGGACGAGGAAAAAGAGGAGGAAATGCGTAGGAAAGCAGAGGTAGATATTATGAATGGTTTGCTACAAATTCAGTCGTATAAATCTCCTAGCAACAAGATAATTTAAAAACTAATTTAAAACAACAAGAAACGGCTAGAATAGAAATAAAACAGAACTAGTTGCATTAAAAAGAAAAATTCCTAACCTAGCTTTGGCAAGCAACAGAGAAACTGCAAACACTACCTCGTCCTCATCTATAACCGAACCAAGTCATATCCAAAACCCAGTTTTACAAAACCATTAGGCTACCCACGTTTGAAGCTGCAGCTAGAGCCAATGGCTGGACCGAGAAAGACATAGTGGCTTCATTGATAGTGTCACTGCTAAGACAGGCAGCAACCGTTTTACAGTTACTTCCACACGAATAACTTAGTTATTCATCTCCCATTTAAGCTTTGGAGATAATATATGGCCAGCAGCATTTGAAACGGGTATTTCAAATCCAGCTAAAAGTTCGTAGTCAGAAACATAATGAGAGTCTACAGGAATTCGAGACCGACATAAGAAGATTGATTCATCGAAACAAGCGTTTGTTCGCTTATCGACAACTTTATATTTATTTTTCTTGTACGTATATTTTTTCTTTACTTGTTTGTATTCATGTTTTTTGAAAAATAAATATTTTTTTATTATTATTATTATTATTATCTTGTCTATCCACAGGCGCCCAAAGATTTCCAAGAACAAATCGGATTACAGGCATTCATTGATGGACTACAAGATGTGAAAATGGAGCAAACCCTTCGTCTACAACATCATAAGACGCTGAGGGAGAAACTGATTGCAGCCCAGGAATATGAAGCGGTAAAACTCCTATCCAGATCTTCTCGTGCAAGAGTGAGTGAAACTAAATCCCAGGAAAGTGAGGAGGCCATTACTAATACTATTCTCCAACCTACACTCTCACAAATGTTAAATATCCTGCAAAATATGCAACGAAACAGCCAAAATGGAAGCAGTAGATGCTTTAATTGCGGAAGAATTGGGCACATTCAAAGGACCTGCAGAAGCAAGGCTCGCTCTATAAATCAAGAATCAGGGAATATGGCCAGAAAGTCACATATATCAATCTATCGAAGCTCGTCACGAAGTCCAATAAGAATTAAGCCGATTACCCACACCTAGCCAGCTTTCTAGCAATAACCAGGAAGTAGAACATCTCTTCGGTCATCTTCATAGCAACGCATACATTATCTCCAGGCGACCCTGTATAGAACGAGAATGTCGGTACAGTAAAGGTTTCGGAGAACGAGCCTGCCAAGTGGTACTGCCGAAATCACATGTTAGAAATGTGTTGGGGAGCTTCATAGCAGCCGTTCGGGAAGACATTTTAGTACTAAAAGGACAAAAATTTTATTGGGTCAATGGCCGACGGGATGTAGCGGATTGGTGTAAAAAATGTGATGTATGCAATGGCAGGACAGAGGTCTACGGATTCTCTAGGGAACGGCTGAAAGCCAACAGCGTTAAAGCAGAAGCCAGAATCGACAGGCGTGTCACAATGACACATTTTGAAAGAGGCGACCCAGCACGGCTGTGCAATCCCAAGCACCGAGGAGGACTTTGTTAGAAATCGCAACGGAACTGGGAAGGCCCCTACGCCGCCCTTAAGGAAAATCAACGACCTTATCTACCGCATTCAGCTGTCAGCGGAAGTAAATCCAAGGTAGTGCACATTGGAAAGTTAGCCTTATGCCGTAGTCCAGATTCTCCCCGTTACTTTCAACCAGGTCCTAGTAGGGGAGAGGTAGTAACAGTGAGACGGCTGGAACACTGAGACATGATAGTTTTGTCAAAAGGTATCTGTATTTGGATGATGCAGACCATTGAATAGTAACCCTACCAACCAACAGAGGGCTCTCAATACATCAGATGCAATTTAAGGGGCGTTTGATTTGAAACTCGATCGAGCGAGCGTCGAGGAGACCGAGAAGTGATGACGTCACAATAGAGCATTGAATCAAATCAAATAAAACAGAGTAAAAAACATAACCTCGCTTTTTTGTGATTCTTGTTTCTGGTTTGTATGTTAAAATAGTGAGCAAAAAGTAAAGAAAATGGAAAAACTTTTAATAATAAGAGGTAATGGCCCTGAAATGCAGCATTTACCACAAATGCCCGCTTCGCTCTCCTACTCCATGACTGTGATTACTGGTGATTAGATCTGGACAGAAAAAATGTATTTTCCAAACACACATTTTGTGTTTTTTTATGATGAATAATTTTAGCTGTAAGACAAAATCGGCTAAGTAATTTGTTGGCTTCTTGTCTGGTCTTTAATTTTGAGATTCAAATTTGTTTGTAAGTTAATTAAAAAGAGATAGGTAGAGACAAAGACAAATTTCTCCCTCTTCTCGATCTTTCTGCTCTGAGAACATCGAGCTCGCTCTGTGTTCTCGCTCCAAAGCGAAACAAACACTTTAGGGATCTCTCGGAGTGTCAATTCAAACACTTTTGAAGCGCTCGGAGATTTCCGATGATCAAATCAAACGCACCATTAGTTGATAAAGTAAAAAAGCAGTAACAGATGATCAGTTTAGTGTGTGACAAAGGAAATTTATTAGCCCTTTTTGAATTAGAATTTTTCCTGGTTAATACCAATTTAAACAAGGTAAGTCTACTAGAAGTGTTTATTAGTGTCGTGGTAGCACATGACTATAGTTTTTAGCTCGTAAATTCAAGATTTAATATTTTGTGAAAAGTATTTATAAAAAATGTGGTTTAGGAACACTGAGACTAGTCATAATTGGAACAGTGAGACGTGTCATATTATTATTGTAACAAATTTAAACGATATTTTTCTCTTTTGACCTCCAGCCGTGGACACACTGTATATACAGAGTGGAAGAAAATCCGCAACCTAACTTTGGGATTTGGAGGTTTAAGGAAATGCCGATTACTTTTTTGTTCTTTACACTTGTGTTAGATTGACCGGTTTTTCTTTAATATTAGTTACTTTGGTTGTTCAAATACAACATAGAATAAAAAATCCTAAAATTTTAAGTGTGATATGTTGTTGAACTATGATTGCAGAGTACCATCAAAAATGAAATAATATAGAGGATATTGTATTTAAATAATTGAGGTGACCATTATCGGAATTACGGTAAATGTGGCAACAGTGCAAATAGAATATGAATCGGCATATATTTTAAACCCCCACATCCAAAATTTTGTAGATTTCTGATAATCCGTTTTCAAAAAAATTAGACGTATTCAGATTTTTCAATCACACAATATAGGTATGCATATACGACCTGGGCCTGATGGTCCCCCTTTGCGAAGGGATATGACCGCCACTGCTTTCTATCAAGTTAAAAAACATCTAAAAAGTGTTATTAAAAAATATTCACCAAAATTTCTTAGAAATAAAACAAAAAACCTTCAAAGCAAATCAAATAACAATACACTTATTCCTATCTAAAGCTTCCTGAATATTATCTAACATCGGGCTTTGATCTCTACTACTCAAGTTGTCAATCATGTTTATTAATTCTTTAAATACAGCTACTACTTTCCAATTGTATTTGGCGCTACATTCAATATAACCTGACTTCCAGTGTTTCTTTACTAAATTAACTATATCCCTACGCTTCTCGTCTGAACCGCTGGTTATAGCCGGTTTCGAACTGTTACTAGAGCCTTCTTCAGGTACTATGAGGTCTTGTTTATTGCCCACGACCAGGAGAGGAACGTTCTGCATATTCCTGGATTCACAGATTTGTTCCCTCAGTGTTCGAACGTATTGAAAAGTGTCTATGTTGGAAAGATCGAAGACTAAGATGTATGCAGTGGCGCTCCGCAAACCGTAGTACCGATAGTTAGCCCATTCATAGTAAGAATTGACCGGAAAGTACGGTATGACCGGAAGGTCAGAAATCTTTATTTCGTATAGACGTTCGTTCGTGATCACCGATGGATAGTACGTGTGTTTTCTTTCTGTGGGTATGTAGTCTTCGCAGAAGTCGTTCCATACGAATTGCTGTAACAAAGATAAAATAAATTAAAATTGGGTCATTGATACCAACAGTAGAAATAACAATAGAAAACAGTCAGAGCGAGAATCATACACGTGGAAAATTAACGAAATTCGATATAATTTTAAAGAAAGCAAATTTTAAAAGTTTTGCGTTTAAGGTGCGCGATTCGGATTGGACAGCAGTTTTGTTGGAATCAAATGTAAACGCGGCTCTAGACACCTTACCCACTATACTCGAACAATATATTGGAGAAGGTGATTCATTCCTTTTCACGTAGAATCATCATATTATTATGGTATCACATGGGTATTACTCACCATATGACTGCAGAAGTTATAGCATACATTAAAAAGAAAATATGCCCAGCCAATGAGAACGCTCCGGCATCAGCCGGGATGTGGCCTACGTGCCACCAAATTCAAAAATCCAATTTATGTAGTAATGCGAAATTTTTGTTAAGGAAATATTTTTAAGTAGGTTCTGTGATGGATTCAAATGTGCCGCCAAATTAAAAAAAAAAGATCTATTAGAAAAAATTCAATATAATTCGCAATATCATAACTATAATACAAGATGCCAATCTGATTTTCATGTACGGCAAGCCATCACTAAAAGTTCCCAAAATAAAATTTTTATTAAAGGTTTAAAAAATTTAATAGACTTCCTACAGAAATTAAAAAAAAAAACAACATAAAATGTATTCCAAAGTAACCTCAAACAATACTTTATAAATAAACAGAACGGATATACTTTCTTGTGATAATACTCTTTAAACCTGCCCTTTATTTATTGTTATTTTACCCCTCGTTTTACCCGCATCTATTATAAATTAATACTTAAATAATACTTAATTAATACTTGTTATATTAATACTACTTACTATGTTTAAATTATTAATAGTGTAATGTGAGCCATTTCATTATTCAGTCATTCTAGTACCTTCGCCAAAGTTTCAAATTTGTATATAAATATTGGTAGAGGATCAACGCAGTCAGTCAGTTGTAGATAGTCAGTGGTGAATATAAATAGTGAACAGTTTAAAGACCTTCGAAATACATATAAATTAGAATAGTATTGTTTAAAATAAATAAGTGTTTAAATAAATTATTAATAAATAAACCGTTGTTTAAAATAAACAAACATCACAATAGTTTTGCGACGATAGGTTACAGCAACTTATAGCCACAAAACTATTTTTGTGTTAAAGTAGATACATAGAGAGCATTGTAATTTACAAAGGCCTTCTTTCAACATACAAATAAATGACAACTTTATAATTAAAATGAAAAACACAACAAAATACCTCGGTATCATAATTAATTGATCAAAATTTGAAATGGGTTGATCACATTACGTCATTAAAATCCCAAGGTAAGAAGATTAATTTTTAAATTTTATGAATTGAGGAAATTTATGACTAGGAGTTTACTAATTATTATTTACAATTCGCTGGTTGAATATGTAATCCAAAATCGTATAACTAAAATTATCTACAAAATACCAGCATTATATCCTACCTCTCTTTTATATAATGAAAAAGTGCTTTGTATAAGAACATTATATTTATTATCTATCTTGCTGTACCTTTACTTATGGAAAGCCTGAATTAAGATACACTACAAATTATTTGCAATAAATATCAAAAGAAGCATACATTTTTAAATAATTTGACATTTAAGAGCCATCACAGTTGACATCTTGATACTTGACAGGCACATCCAAGCATTATTCTGATTTTTTTTCGATTTATGGCCTAGGTCTATAAACCTAATACGCCAGTCTCAGTTTGTGTTTAAATTCTCAATAATGTGTGTTCTGTGTAGGCTTTGTTGCTGTTTCTCAGCGCTACTTCAGAAACAGCACTTAATTAGAACCCAACAGTGAATGGTCGAGTGGTTAATCCTACCAATGCATCAGAATTAATTTTAAATAATTAAATTAAATAAAAAAATCCTGGACAACAGTAAGATTCGAACCTGGGATCCTTGGATCCACAGGCAGAGACTTTACCACTGAGCCACCCACCCCCTTATATTCTGATTTGGGCCAAATAAAATGACCGGTTAATTATTCCATGGGGTTGCGACAGAGAGCCAGTAAATTTGATGAAGGTGTTTTTGTGGCTATGGGCGAAATAGTAGTACGCTTAAGTTAGCATCACCATAAAAAAGTCATTTTTAAGAAACTGCTTATATATTTTTCATAAATTGGCAGGCTTGGAGACTAATTTCGAATAAAAATAGCCTCCAAAATGGCTATGGTTGCAAGTATAAAGGTCGCAACCCGCCTTAGAAATTTCACCTTTACTATCAATAGCTGTTGTTTGACAGGTCGTTAGAGAATGTTAAGAATGTTAGGAATGTTGACGTTAGAAATACTTGGAATTCCTAAAATTGTCACATAAGAAATGCATAGGCGGATTTTAAGAAAATTGATATTAAAGTAGGTTCTAAGTTAGAAGTAATTATTCAAGAAAATCAAAATCGCAAGTCAATCAGAACTTTCGTTTTAGAGTTATCGTGCCATACATACACAGACGACCAGACGAAATTTTTTTTTGCATTTTTGGAAACATGAAAAAAGTTTTAAAAAATGGGGGTAAGAAAATGTTTTCTGAGGCCCCATAGCAAGGGCCTCAGTAATTTAACTCGATTTCTTTTTTTTTGGTTTCTAGCATAACTTTTTGTCACGACTTCAATGTCATGAATGAATTATATCAGTGACACAATCATTGTGACATAAAATATCGTCCATCCCTATTCCATGCATTGTTAGTTGCATAACTAACTGTAAGGCAAGAACCACAAAACTCAAAGAGGACTGGGATACTTACAAATCTCACCTCAGAGAATACAAAAAAATCGTCAGACAAAAACAGAGAGATGCATGGAGATCCTACTGTGAAGAAATCGAAGATTTCCCGCAGGCAGCGAGGCTTCAAAAAGCTCTCTCAAAAGATCCACACCGAAGCATTGGTGCGCTAATCAAAGAGGATGGCACGAAAACTGCATCAAACTTCTGCTGTCAACACACTTCCCTGACTCGGTCATCACACACGTGGCGAACTGGGCAGAGGAAGAATACAATCCATCTGTCTATGATTGGCAAACTGCCAAACACATTGTAGACGATGAAAAAATTATATGGGCAATATCCAGCTTCTCTCTATTTAAATCGCCAGGACCTGACGGTATCTATCCAGCCCTACTTCAGTGGGGTCTGGAAGAACTCACACCGCACCTGGTGGGTATATTCAGATCCTCATTGGCTTTGAGGTATATCCCCAAAAAATGGAGAGAGGTAAAAGTGGTATTTATACCCAAACCTGGAAGGATGGATTACACTATCCCAAAAACATACCGACCAATTAGTCTGACATCGTTTTCCATAAAGACATTGGAAAGGCTATGCGAAAGGTACATAAGGGATACGGTGATTAAAACAATACCACTACATCCAAACCAACATGCATACACCCCAGGCAGATCTACTGATTCAGCCCTTCATTTAGTTGCTGACCGGATAGAAAGATCCCTGGACAATAATGAGTCCGTCTTGGGTGTTTTCATAGACATAGAAGGTGCTTTTGATAAAACCACCTTCCCAAAGATAATACACTCACTAACCAACAGGAATGTTTCACAAATGTTTAGTGGGTGGATACATAACATGCTCTCAAAGTGAGCAGTAAACATAAGTGTAGAAGATGTGAATATAAGAGGCTTGGTTGCGAGGGGATGTCCACAGGGAGGGGTGCTATCACCTCTACTGTGGAATCTGGTCCTCGACACCCTCATCAGCTGCCTCAATAATGACAGTCACTACACAATAGCATATGCAGATGGTCTGGTCATTCTGCTCAGGATGTGGAATATACTCAAGATTCTTAAACCTAAATATAAAATGGGCTTTGAGCAATAGTGCCAGTGTAGTTGAAACAGATCTAACGGGTATTCTCATAGCAGCAAAAGAAATAACCAGAAACAATATCACAGGAAGGAACAGGCTCATCTATACAGATAGCAGACAAGCACTACTCATCCTGAACAGACCACGAATCTACTCAGGATGAGTACTAGAATGTCACGAAGCTTTGGCAGAAGTATCCATCAACAATGTGGTCACCTTAAGATGGATTAAAGGTCACGCCACATCGAAAGATAACTGTCTTGCTGATTCACTAGCCAATAAAGCAGCCAACCAAATACTTTTTGGACCTGGCCCTTCTATTGGCCTGACAAAATCGGCAGTGACAGACTTAATGAAAGAACATTTCCTTGTGAAATTCAAAGAAAGGTGGGATGAAACAAGAAACTGCAGAGTTGCCAGGGAGCTTTTAAGTTATCCTGACAACACTGCAGCAAACAAATACTTGACTATGACTAGACAGAATCTGCGCCTAGTTACAGGCATTTTGACTGGTCATTGCCAAGTACGAAAACATCTCCATATCATGGGGCTATCAGAATCCGCACTCTGCAGAGGGTGCGAACAAGAAGATGAGACCATTGAGCATATACTTTACGATTGCCCGACGCTCTCATTTATTAGAAGATTTGTGTTCGGCGAGTATCGGCTAACACCGGCCGATATAAGAGAAGCACCTCTTGGCGACGTTGTCAACTACATTAAATCTGTAGACTGGCTCACGAGCTCGGAGGTGCCTATCATCTCAGGAGGATGCACAATGGGCCTAATGAGGCCTAAGTGCCGTGGGGGTAACCCACCCTCCACACGTTACAGATTCAGAACTAACTGTAAAATAATATTTCATTCCAACCATTTGTGTTGTCGGACTAGCTAAACATTAAATTACATATCATAAGACATTTTTTTCGTATTTTTTACAATAAAGTCATGTTATTATCCTGTATTTAGGGAATTTTTTATGAAAATAAATACCTAGTTATTGTAGGTAAATGTCAAATCGTCTAACATGACTATTCCTAACTTCATACTAATCTGATTAAATTTCA